TGGCAACAACTATAATCTAAGGAATTTCTATAAATTCTAAATCATTTATTAGTAACGAACGGTTAGCTCGTACGACAGCCATTGTCAGAATTTCAAACTCTATTCAATCTACTATTAGCCAAACAAATAATTAGAATTATTTAGAGTACTTTAATTTTCTTAGTTTTAATCGGTGAACTCTTCATTATTTTTCTCAAAAAAACTTAACAGAATGGTTTACTAATGTAGAAACACGTTGTTACGTTGCAGATCCACTGTTGATTTTGTCCATGCAGTTGAATGGAAAATGGTACAAAACTGATTATTCATATTACAAATTAATACAAAGTAAGTAACAAATATATTTATTAAACTATTTAAGTTGCAATCCTACTGTAGATTTAGCGTTAGTAGGTAGGTAGGAGCTCTGAGGTGCACCACAAAAACAGTACTCCTTTCTCGAAAATCAATTACCATACAGTTTTTTTTTTCAATTGCAGCTGATAATTAAAAATAACAAAATATACAATCCACACGAGGTGCGTCGCCTATCATTGTATTTCAGCACTTTCATGCTACGACAAAAAAAGATAAATTCATTGTAAAACACTTCAATTAAAACAGAATTTTTTAACAACCTAACATCAACCCCAATTAGAGAAACGTGTTAATAATTTTGAGCCCCGAAAAAAAAATTGTCTCAGATCGACCCGAAAAAAAATTTTCTTATAGAATGTGGCCTGTAGAATCCATAATTTCAAACAGTTCCAAGATTGGGCTACTATTTCAAAAGTTACAGGCCTTTGAATTTTCTTTCGAAATTGGTTTCTAGTCTATAACTTTTGATTGAGAAGTCTGATCGAAAAAGTACGAATTGGTTTGGATTCTACGCACCAAAATTAATAAGAAAAAGTGTTTTCCCGAGAAATTTTGGTGTAGTCGATTTTTGGTAAAAAAGGAAGGTAAATACATTGCCTTTTTTGAGCCCCGAAAAAAAAATTGTCTCAGATCGACCCGGAAAAAAAATTTTCTTATAGAATGTGGCCTGTAGAATCCATAATTTCAAACAGTTCCAAGATTGGGCTACTAGTTCAAAAGTTACAGCCCTTTAAATTTTCTTTAGAAATTGGTTTCTAGTCTATAACTTTTTATAGAGAAGTCTGATCAAAAAAGTACGAATTGCTTTGGATTCTACGCATCAAAATTAATAAGAAAAAGCGTTTTCCCGAGAAATTTTGGTGCAGTCGATTTTTGGTAAACAAGGAAGGTTATACACTGCCTTTTTTTGAGGCCCTCAAAAAAAATTGTCTCAGATCGACCCGGAAAAAAATTTTTCTTATAGAATGTGGCCTGTAGAATCCATAATTTCAAACAGTTCCAAGATTGGGCTACTAGTTCAAAAGTTACAGCCCTTTAAATTTTCTTTCGAAATTGGTTTCTAGTCTATAACTTTTGATTGAGAAGTCTGATCGAAAAAGTACGAATTGTTTTGGATTCTACGCACCAAAATTAATAAGAAAAAGCGTTTTCCCGAGAAATTTTGGTGTAGTCGATTTTTGGTAAAAAAGGAAGGTTATACACTGCCTTTTTTGAGCCCCGAAAAAAAAATTGTCTCAGATCGACCCGGAAAAAAAATTTCTTATAGAATGTGGCCTGTAGAATCCATAATTTCAAACAGTTCCAAGATTGGGCTACTAGTTCAAAAGTTACAGCCCTTTGAATTTTTTTTCGAAATTGGTTTCTAGCCTATAACTTTTGATTGAGAAGTCTGATCGAAAAAGTACGAATTGTTTTGGATTCTACGCACCCAAATTAATAATAAAAAGTGTTTTCCCGAGAAATTTTGGTGTAGTCGATTTTTGGTAAAAAAGGAAGGTAATAATACATTTTTTTTTTGAGCCCCGAAGAAAAAATTGTCTCAGATCGACCCGGAAATAAATTTTCTTATAGAAAATTACCATATAGTTTTTTTTTAAATTGCAGCTGATAATTAAAAGTAACAAAATATACAATCCACACGAGGTGCGTCGCCTATCATTGTATTTCAGCACTTTCATGCTACGACAAAAAATGATAAATTCATTGTAAAACACTTCAATTAAAACAGAATTATTTAACAACCTAATATCAACCCCAATTAGAAAAACGTGTTAAGTTAATAGTTTATTAATAGTGCAAGAAACTAAATACAGCACATACTTATAAATTTTAAATTTCCAACGGGCCATTATGATCTACAGGCCAGGTGGCAACCGCCACCCGCCCCCCCCGGGTCAGTCCGCCCCTGTCGGGAGCGCGAATTTAATATGATATGATTCGGTAAGATACTACGGGTTTCTTCCTATAATGTAGATGAACGTGATCGTAAGAACATTAAGGCAGTGTCTGTATCAACGGATTAATATAGACAATTACGGTAGTAAATGCATGAAAAATACCGTGTAAATAAAATCGCAATAAACTCGCAATAAAAGTTCATCAATATCGGGGGACGAACTTGTGCACTTATATCTTTGACCTAGTGAAATACTGAGGTTGCTGAATGCAATGATTTACAGCTTTTTAATCTGCGATGCGCTGCATATCAATTTGTCAACATATGTCCATTCCATTTACCGTAAAGATAGAAGCTACACATACCATAGAATGCTCACCTTGCCTTGGGGAATTTTTCGCTACGAAGAGATGCTTGTAGATCGTATCCTGTTAAACTTCTTGCATATATTAGGCAAGGTCTAAGCATTATTTAAAATCATTCCGAAAATAATGTGCCTGTTTCGTTTGCTTTCTAAAAGTCGCCTTTCCGTTTGAAAATGTCGTAATTTTGCATAGTAATATTCAACTGCGGAAGCTTCTTTGATAGATTACTGAATAACTTACATGCAAATGCCACCTAAAGGTACATTCTCTTCCCTATTAAATTGTAGTAATTTTTAAGCGCTTATGTATACATAGCAATACTCAATTGCAATCTTTGTATATCCAGAAAAAATTTAGATTTTCAAAAACTTGAACTTTCGCTACCCGATCAACAATACAAGTTACATTTTTTTGTTTTCAATTACTTGAGATATTTTTCTCTTTTTTTATTTATAACAATTGTATTTATGTCAGTTTTACTTTTAAACTACTACGGTAACTCCTGCCTATGGATATGCCTATGCCTATGTTTTTTAAGATATGTAATGTTACATGGGAAGATCGTATTTCACAAAAGTAAATTTTCAAAATGAAAATTGATGTGTAACGAAGCACCAGTTTCCTCGTTGAAGCTACCAGTTTTAGTGATCACTCTGTAGATGAACACCCGATATCTAGAGGTGCTTCGTTACGAAAACTGTTGTGCCGAAAGTATTTATGTTGGTTCTAGGAGTTGAAGGTAATTGATTTAATTTCTGGAGTGTTTCAGCCGCCGTTACCGTAAATTAACCTCCATTAATTTGCCGTTTTCAACCGTTCCCGTCAAGATATTCCAATTATCTTTGTTGCGTCCGAAAGCTCGTACCATTTAGACGACAAGGGCAAATTAAAATTTTAGAATTTCAGTCGTGTTAAGTAATTATTAGAAGGTTTTAGTTTTTCTATGTTAATGTAAAACGAGCATTAAAGCTGCAAGTTATTTAGAGGGGATCTTTTGCCTTTGGTGTTTTGGTAGTGACATTTTTAATTTTGGATACGTTCAGTACTTTAAGATTACCGCTAGGTTTTATTGCAAGGTAAGCTTTTTGATACTTTTTCGTATTTAGCCAAATAAAAGAGATAATAAAATGTCCCTCTTATCTCGAACTCTCTGTATATTATAATATATTTTTAATACGAGTATATTATTTAGCGCATTTGAAGCATATCTAGGGAAACATTTCTCTTCGAATTTCAAAAATTTTGAAAACTAGTTCGCGTGCAATATTAGGCAATAGTGAAAGTACCATGTAATCAATAGTGACATCTAAGGTAGGACCTGAATTATCAGTCTAGATGAGAGGAAACTTATAATGATATCCTTACACAATGAGAATGGGACCTAAAAGAACATATTATAGATGTTCAAAGGGAAATTTGGATTTGGACAAAAAATTCCGCTATCAAAAGCAATATTAGAACAATCTGTGAGACTTAAAGCACAAAGTCAAATGAAGAGGGCTCAAATAAATGAAAGCTTTTTTTATACGAGTTGTTTACATTGATGACAACATTAAATCTGTAAACAGAATTCAAGTTGACTGTCATGTTATCTTTTTGGTTTAGGGACTGAGAGAGAAAAAACGGAACAAACGGAACAAAATCTATACATAAAAACAATTAATACATTCTCATAACACAAATCGTTCATTAGTTCCCACTCTTTATGTGTCCAAGCATCCTACATCAAAATTAAAAGATCTTTCGTCATGTGCAGGGTGTAAATCGAAAAGTGGAACATGGGCGTTTAATATGGGAAATTACTTTTTCTTTGCGCAAACGTTTCTTAATTATTTTACGCAAAAATACTTCAAATAAAAGTTATAGAGATATAAATTCTGCATCTAAATCATGTGAAACGATTGTTCTACCTCTTCTTGTACGCGAAAAAATTAATTATAAAGATTCTGTTTTCACGAGTTTTTAGTCTAAGTAGCCATGGACTATGTTTTTCTTTTATCATAGTCCATGGCTACTTAGACTAAAAACTCGCGAAAACAGAATCTTTATAATTAATTTTTTCGCGTACAAGAAGAGGTAGAATTGCGCAAAGAAAAAGTAATTTCCCATGTTGAACGCATATGTTCCACTTTTCGATTTACACCCTGTACTTAGATAATGTAAAAAATAATCTAAGGAGCTCAAATCAGCAACTAGACCAATTCTAGCTTAGCAATTATGACTTTGGACTAGAGTTGGTAATTTCTAATGAAATTCGTATAGTACACACGCTATCGATTGCGTTTCATAGAAGCATTTACGCCCTCGTGTTAGAATCTCGTGTACTAACTTTTCAAATCCGACGATCAGCGTCGTCTAGCGTCCGTGAATAAAACGTCACTTTTGATAGTATTTCTGTAATGCGCTTTAAAGCGGAACTTCTACTAATTTTTATTAAAATCACTTTAGGTGAGCATTTCATCTACTGACAAATTACCTAAAGAAGTCATTTAGCCAGCGACAAGGTACATAATTTTGTACACTTAACATGGGATTATCTCAAAGACGGTGTAACGGATATGATGGATTGCATAAGGATAAAGCACCCTCCTAGAGTCGACGATGTGAAGTTTTACCTCTTCACCCCGTAAGGTCTACTCCCATGCTCCACCGGTAAATTTTCCTTACAGAAAGACCGGAGACGAGGGCCAGGAAATCAACAATTTTACAATAAGGAACATTGAAGGTTTTAACAAGACGTTTTACACGAAAATTTTGATACACGGTTACGCTCAAAATTACAAAAATGAGGTGCTACTCAAAATGAAGGACGGTAAGCCTTAGTTAATCATTTTGGGCTCTCTGACGCACCCGTAGTGTACGTTAAGACGGAAATTTTAAACGTAATCATGGTAAACTGGGAAAATTTGTCTACGCCTTTCTGCTATCCCATCGTTGCGGATTATACGAATTTTGTAGGCCAGATAACGGGGTATCTTATGGCAAAGTTAATCCCTGAAAAGACTCACGTGATTGGCTTTAGTCTAGGCGCCCACGTCGCTGGAATTGGTGCTCAAATGCAAAGCGCCAAAGTGCTTAGGATTACAGGTACCTAAGCCTTATCTCCATAGAATTTCGAGCTTGTCGGAAAAAAAATAAATACCATTGGCCCCCTTACCGATCCCTAAATTTTTATTAGGTCTAGATCCGGCTGGTCCAATGTTCATCAACACCGCCGAAAACCAACGCCTGGACAAATCCTCCGCCAAAAACGTGGACATAATTCACACTTCAAGAGCCGGTGTTAGTTCTCCTGTCGGTCACGCCGACTTCTACGTAAACGGCGGCAAAGTACAACCGAATTGCTCATCAACGGACGGTACCGCTACACTCAATTTGGTGAATTTGTCACACAATTGCTTCAGTTGCATGCAGTCATCGCAGAAGTATGGAGTTGTATCTGGAGTCAATAACGTCCAATGTTGGATTTAAGGCATTCGAATGCGATTCGGTTAGCAACTTTGAAAACAATAAATGTATAAATAATACGTTTGCACCGATGGGAGAGCCGTGGTTGTCTCGGTACGATATTTTTCAAGTTTTGTAACTAATGCATGTATCCTAGGGGAGCGTTAAGGGGCATATTTTATATAAAAACCAACCCGACGGAACCTTTCGCCAGTGATAAAGATGAAAATGATTAAGCCTGTATTTTTATAATAATAAATATTTAAAGCATCGCACCCTTCAGATAAAATTGGTCCTTCTTCGCAATGTAGTAACGTTAGTAACGAAGTACCAAGGCAAAGCGCTTTTGGAACAATTAGTTCAGGAAAATAGTATACAAACCTCGCTGGTCAGTGGTTCATAACCAACGCCTCGCGCTTATACCTCACCTCCGCGCTTCGCGCGTCGGTGAGGTACCTTAAGCCCTCGGGGTAGGTAATGAACCACCTCCCAGCTCGGTATGTAATCTACTATTACTCACAATCGGTTAGTACTATCTGAATTCCTAACCTTCATAGCGGTTGCGAAGCGACTCATTACTCACCTTAGCCGGGAAAGTAACTTTCCCGGCTAGCTGTCACTTTCCCGGCTAGCATCTGTCACTTTCCTTACCTGCAAATGCTATTCATATTATCCTTATATGAAACTTATACTAATAGTGACACCGCCAATGTAACCATTAATGTTTACAACAATAGCAAATTACGAAGAAGAACGAAACTATTTGCTATTGTTGTAAACATTAATGGTTACATTGGCGGTGTCACTATTATTGACAGTTAAAGTAACACCTTGTTGAATTATATACTTTACCTTAAATGATCGATTGTGAGTAAAAGATATTACAGCACCATCAATCCTTGCTTTTCTAAAGGGGTTGAGATTGCTGCCGGGTTCACCTCTTCTTCAACAGGACGACCTCATTCTTTCTCTCGCAGAAACCGCTGAAAACCATCACAAATTGTACTTTGACCCCAAAAAACCTTAAAATAGAGGAAACTTTCACTGCTTTAAATATAATTGTGGAATTAAATTAACCCTCCAATGAATTTCAAGCAGTGACAGTGGACTGACTAGCGGAATGTAGGCCGTTCTTGAACGACCTACTTTTAAGCGAAAGCAAGCCGGTTATTCACTGCCAGAAAACTTTTCATTCAGCAATGCCACAACTTCCTGATGAACGCTGTAGGCTAAATTTTAACTCATACCACTGCAATCAATGTATATATACTCTTTCTCTTTGATGTTATCTACTTATCTATATTCTTATGTACTTACTATTTAATGAACTTTAACTACATTTATATGATTAAGCTTGTAGAGGAGGGATAAATGGCCCTTGTGGCTTTTCCTTATCCTAAATAAAGATGATTATTATGGTCGGTGTTTCTTGTGAGAACTCAGGTCTAGCCTGGTTAACTAATCGCACGGATTAAAATCAAGTAACGATTAGTGTCTGTGTCTGGTGAAGTTATGTAGGGTTCTAAAGAAAAAAAAAAAAAAATATTCACACACTCGCATTGGAAATCTACGGATAGTATGTAATTCATACTTACCAACATAGCTATTAATGGCCACAATAGTCAACGCTATCAGGAAAGAAGAAAACAAAACAAAAATATCATTATAATAATTCCTGTAATTTTATTAAATAGAGTTTATTGTGTAAGTGTTTCTTTGGCTTTGCGTTTGGGTTGAATACGAGTGGGTTGTGATAACGTGGTGTGTTTATGTGAAGAAGGAGTTTTGTGTTTTTTAATTGTATTTATGGTGTTTCTTTGTTCCTGAGGTCGTATTTGTGAGGTTGTTTGGGTTTTTGGTGGAGATATTGCAGTATTTTGTGAGCCTGTGGTGCTGTTAAGGTTTTTGCGCTTCGGTTGTATACGAGTGGGTTGTGACAATGTGGTGTGTTTCTGTGAAGAAGGAGTTATGTGTTTTTTAAGTGTGCTAGGGCGTGTAACTTTATTGGGTGGACCTGTCTTTGTAGTGCATGTTGCGTTACTTGTATTTATGGTGTTTCTTTGTTCTTGACGTTGTATTTGTGTGGTTGCTTGGGTTTTTGGTGGGGGTATTACAGTATGTTGTGAGCATGTAGTTCTGTTAAGGTTTTCACGTTTCGGTTGAATCCGAGTTGGTTGTGATAATGTGGTGTGTTTCTGTGAAGAAGGAGTTTTGTGTTTTTTAATTGTGCTAGGACGTGTAACTTTATTGGGTGGACCTGTCTTTGTAGTGCAAGTTGTGTTACTTGTATTTGTGGTGTTTCTTTGTTCTTGAGGTTGTATTTGTGTGGTTGCTTGGGTTTTTGGTGGAGATATTGCAGTATTTTGTGAGCTAGTAGTGCTGTCAAGGTTTTTGCGTTTGGGTTGTATACGAGTGGGTTGTTTCTGAGAAGAAGGAGTATTGCGTTTTTTAACTGTGCTAGGACGTGTAACTTTATTGGGTGGACCTGTCTTTGTAGTGCATGTTGCGTTACTTGTATTTATGGTGTTTCTTTGTTCTTGAGGTTGTATTTGTGTTGTTGCTTGGGTTTTTGGTGGAGATATTACAGTATGTTGTGAGCGTGTAGTTCTGTTAAGGTTTTCGCGTTTCGGTTGAATACGAGTGGGTTGTGATAACGTGGTGTGTTTATGTGAAGAAGGAGTTTTGTGTTTTTTAACTGTGCTAGGACGTGTAACTTTATTGGGTGGACCTGTCTTTGTAGTGCAAGTTGCGTTACTTGTATTTATGGTGTTTCTTTGTTCTAGAGGTTGTGTTTGTGTTGTTGCTCGCATTATTGGTGGAGACATTACGGTATTTTGTGAGCCTCTAGTGCTGTTAAGGTTGCTGCGTTTGCGTTGAGTACGAGTGGGTTGTGATAACGAGGTGTGTTTCTGAGAGGAAAGAGTATTGTGTTTTTTAGCTGTGCTAGGCCGTGTAACTTTATTGGGTGAGGGCGTCTTTGTAGTGCATGTTGCGTTACTTGTATTTATTGCGTTTGTTTGTTCAGGAAGTTGTGTTTGTGTGGTTGGTTGAGTTAAGGGTGGAGATATTACAGTATGTTGTGTGTCATGTTGTGAGTCTAAAGTGCTGTTTAGGCTTTTGCGTTTGGGTTGAATACTAATGGGTGTGATAATGTGGTTTGCTTCAGAGGTGAATCTCTGAATGTAGTATATGTTGTATCATTTGTTGTACTTGTTTGTTCGGTAAGTTGTATTTGTGTGTTTGTTTGGGTTAGAGGTGGAGATATTACAGTATGTTGTGTACCGTGTTGTGAGGGAGTGCTGTTGTTTACATGTATACGTTGTGGATCATTTCTGTATGTAGTATCTTGTGTTATGTTTAGAAATTATTATTATTATTATTATTATTATATTATATTCCCCTGGTAATCCTGGATAGACGTCTCCTTGTTGGGTGGGGAGTTGAGAGGACGAAATTTGACGCGGCCAACATGGATAATGACATAAACAAACCTATTAAACCAGAGGGAGCGCCCTCAAACTCTGTTTCTGGTTACCGAGCGTTAATACACCAAACCACTACAGCGCACCTCTGGCGCTGAACAGAAGAGGAAAAAGAAGGCCAGGATAGTCCAAATGTGTCAAACTGCGCCGTGACCCAACACTGATCCAGAGACAGGCTCCTAGAGGTAACTCTGAGCAGACGGATAAACGGGTAGGCGGAGAGAAAAAGAGGCAAAGGTCGCATGACTTAACACCGACCCAATCGCCGACGTAGAAGAGCAGACCACAACCCTAAACAAAGGCAGGTGTCAGTAAGGCTAACAACTGGGTCCCGGGCGAACCTGACGACCTGGTGGCGGTCAAGAGGAGTTTGGAGGTGCAGAATTCCTGGTCAAAGGTAGTCAGCTGGTGTCTCTTCCAAACAGCCGTGAAGGATCAACCTCAAGGGAGGTTGATCGTTTTCAGGATTGAGGAAAAGGGTCAGGCTAACCTCATCGCCAGAGGGGTAAGCTCAGTTATGGGTTTTCCTGAGGTGGGGAGTACGTCAGTACAACCACCACAACCATACCAGTAGCTTCTGCATGGGCAACTGCAAGAAGCTACGGATGCATAACCGTCCATTCTGCCAAAGCAACCTGTGCCCAGTGCTTGTTCCAGTGTCAGCAACCACCCGGCCCGATTTTCGAACTGGGACGAGTTTGCGAATATTGAGGCACTGCTGAAATCTGATTCTCCCAACGCAATGGAGGAACGGAGAGCGATAAACCCACCTTAAGGTAAAAATTCAAATCAAGTTTGCCAAATGCGCAAATATTTGGCAATATAGTAGCTGACTTACTGTCAAAATTTAAGTTTCTTCGCGTGAAGGTTATACGCAGGTTTCAGAAGAATGAATACTGTAGCAGGAGAAAATGAAGATTCTTGGACCGATACTAGCTACAACAGCGATGACGATGGTCCACCTTAGTCTGGAGTTTGTGTCGCATAAATACCAAAGGTTTACTTTTTTAGGAAAATTCCAAGCGAACAAATCATGTGGAACGGTTTTGGCTGGCCTAGAAAGCGTAATTGAAATGTGCACACCTACAGAATCATCCTGTTCCCATAACGCAAGCGGAAACCGATGTAAGCAACAATAACAGCAAATACGTCTTTATTTTGATTCCATTTAGATATAAATAAAGTTACTATGACGTCGTATATTATACCTACGCCAAATCCATGTTCACCTAAACTTTGTTCATGCGAATCGACCAGGAATACTACACATTTTTACACGAAGTCTGTGCAAACTTCTTCACCGACATACGAAATGGCTGCCGGTTCCGTTGAAGATCCTCAGTTATCGGTAGCAATACAAAGTGACATTCAATCATCTGAAAGTTCGAGTTCGACAATAGCGTCCAGTGAAGCGACGCAAAGTTATACGACAATAACAGAAGCAACACAGACAACTGTATCATCCGCCACTAGAGACCTCAAGACTGTGACACTGGTTGACAATGAAGGAAACAGGTATAGTCTTAGCCGACACCGCGACAGAGAACCGTCACTACCAGCAACGGTGTCGACAGTCTCTACAAACACCGCAAAAGTAATTCACATATCTTTGGGAACAGGTGGGTTATGCCCCTTTTACACGGATGGAGAGTCGTGTAGAATATGCTGCGATACTAACTCGGATAATCCAAAGCGTATATGTGTGTAATTGTCAAATACTGTCTAATACGCTATGACACCGTAGGTCCAGAAAAAGACGTCCAGGCAACCCCCGAGCGTAGAGCTTCAAAGCCAGAAAAAGAGTGCAACACTAAATCATGTGCGCAAAAGTACAAGCACAGGTCCACAATCATAATTCCAAGCCAAACGAAACCGGATCATTTGTTAATGAAGTTGGAACACTCCCAAACAATTTGCAAGTGTGCCTCTCGATCATCACCGAATGTAAAGAATGGTAGCACGCAAACATCGCCGGAAACAAGCGAAGATATCCCACCGGAAAAGAGTATAGCACTAAGAGGGGTGCTCAAATCAGCCCTAGAATTGCTTGACGATGACCACAACTCTACGACCAAAAGCATCCAAGCTGTAAATACCGATCAGGTTAAGATACTCAAAGAGGAAGGAACGACCGCCTCCACGCTCCAAGAAATTGGCGAGCAAACTAATTTGGAAGACGAAAATCTGTCAGTCTTACGCGTGTTGCCTAACAATTCACCAACTCTACTTTCGCCCGTGGCGTCTCCTCACAAAGAATGGGATTTGGTTCATTCCAACTATGACCCCCTGGACAGTGGCTCAATACGCAACTCACGCGAGACCAAATCTTCATTTCCAAGAAATGGAACGAATTTCTCGACGAAAGGCGTAGAGACTCGCAGACCTTGGACAGGTGCACGCTCAACAGGTATATCTCTTGACATGTATCTTATATTTAAGGACTCTTTCAGATACAAATAATTCTCCGACTGCTAAAAATCTTTCGACAAAAGAAGATCCATTCCAATATCGAAACGTAAAGTACCTTGATTCACCAAAGACTTTAGATCACTCATTTGCGACTCAAACAGCTCGTGAAATGACAGATTTAGTTCTAAGTTCAGTGGAGGATTTAATAGAAACAGAGGCTCCAGTTAGAGATAACTCACCACGTTCCAATTCGATGGAGGAAGATATTCCAGTTAAAGATACTCTTCCAGGCACCAAAACGGTAGTTATTCTTGATAAAACCAGGTTAGATCCACGTCCTAACTACATTTTACCTGGTCAAGTCCCATCTACAGCAAAAACAAATTCAACATGCGCAGCAATACATAGAAAAGTCCACGATCTATATGCTCATGGAAATAAAATTCTTACTAAAATTATTTCGCCTCAAGACACTGTCAACTGCCCACGGAAACGCAGCGAGGTCTCCACGCGCGTTGTCTTTCAAAAGGTAGACATCGACTGCAATTGCAAATGTAAATCGGATGGCGATCGCAACAAGCCGAAGAAAATTCGATACGCAACGGCTAAGATATCAGTATTTGAAAATTATTCGACTTTCGAAATATTTAAGTTTTCCAAATCGAAACCAAAACACATGTCCTCCACCGTTGAGAATGTCTTTGTTATAAAAAATAAAACCAAATAATTTGTGGATCTTTAGTAATAAAGAACATTCTGATTATTCACCGAACATTGGATTTAGGTTTTTAGGATTGGAATCTGGTATTCTGGATATATCAGAAGCGACGGTTTGCTTTGCAGGGGGAATTGTAAAGTGCGCCGGTCCAACAGGTCCTACTATAGATGGGTTCAAAGCTGTTGATTTAGGTAAAGGACCCTTTCCTGGGAATTTGTATAGAAAAGGAGAATAATCATTGGATATTTTATCTTCTATTCTAGGTGGAAGCCTTTCTTTCTCGCTTGCGCTTAATATTTCGGTGGTTTCGCTGCTAGAACTTATCTGAACTACTGTCGGCGGCGCGCTAGTTAAATCATCTTTGCCTGTCTTTTTTTTAGTTGTAGAAGTGCTCCAGACTTTCTTATTGGAAAAGAATTTTGATCCAAACAATCCGTGGGTGTTGGCAGTATTGGTATTTTCCGCGCTTGGTAGTAATCCTTGTGAAACTTTCGGGTCGACTGTCACGCCTACATTATCCGCATTTGGGGTCTGTAAGGGACGAGGAACTAAGAACGACGGCGGAATATTCTCAAGGTTCAACCGATACATAAAAATCGGAGCGAAGAAATCTGGTTCAATAAGAAACTCTCTGGGATCCCCTTCAACAATCAGCCCCCTTATCCATTTAGCGTACGGACCTTTTAGAAAATTCACGAAAACTTGCTGCTTTTTGCATAATCCTACTCTAAAAGCAATTAGTTCACCTTCTGTAGATGTAAGAGCTCCTGACAACGCATGCTTCACCGCATGCTGCCCAGCGCAAGAGACGCTCTGTCTAATTTCAGCTTCAAGCGACGACCCGACCTGCGGATTCTTTGCCCACGCCTCGCTTACATACATATTATTCTTATGCCCGTGTTTTCCCTTCCTCCAATATTTAATAACAGCCTGACTCCAGCCAAATGTGCTGTCAGGCACCTTCACAGTGTTAATGTATTTGCCCAGAGCAAAGGGAGGCGACACTTGAAGAAGTGCCGGTCCCGAGGCGGGTTCTTCCGACAAGTAGACATACTTCGTAACATTATGCACAAATCCATCTTTATCCCAGTAATCACTTCCACCTCTCACTTTGAGCTTCAACCATTCTGTATCGTTCTTAGCACACTCTCGTCCAACCAACACCCAATCCTTCAAAACAATTACACCCGAACACGCAAGTTGCTGCACAGTAACGGTGCCGAAATGGTTCCTCGTATGTAAAGATACCAGATAAGAGGCTTCATCATCGAGATCACCACCCACGTTATCACCGAGGTCGTCACCGAGGTCATCACCGAGGTCATCGCCGAGGTCATCACCGAGGTCATCGCCGAGGTCATCACCGAGGTCATCGCCGAGGTCATCGCCGAGGTCATCACTGACGTCATCACCGAGGTCATCACCGAGGTCATCACCTCCAACCAACGAAGCGCCGCCATCTCCGGGGCGCTCTTTCTCAGTTACACTGCCCAAATCAAAGCCTAAGTAGTTACCGCATTTGCATTCAGATAATTTTTGCGGTGGAGTATCGCCATTAATAAAGTCTGATGGCAAAACTAGGCCGATGCAAAGCGCTAAAATTATTGAAACGAAAACAACGATAATGGTTAAAGAAAGCAAAATCTTCTCAGACGATGACAGAATATAATTCGTCATTGTCAAATCGAGCGTTAATGGAGTTTCTATGACTAATGTCGTGTGATTGTCGAAAAATGCGATTAATCATGATAATTGCTCATATGGCTATTAAGATTTTGGCTTTTCTGTTTTGGGCCTTCAGAATACGGATAAGTGGTTGTCATCCCGGTCGGTACGGACTTTGTGGGCCTTCGCCATCACGAATTGCCTGGGCTTGAGTGCAAAATAAATTATCGTATTTTCGTGTAAATCAGTTCATCTTCAGACATATTATGTCCCAACTTACTTCTCACTAATAGAGGTCGTACCTTTTCACACTGAGTACCTACTTAATTGGTAATATCTCGGTAAATATCGAATGTATACAAAATTTTTCTATATGAAAGTTGTTTAACATTATATTTCCCATAACAAGGTAGTATTCCATTGTTTTTATTTCAGAAAACAAATGAATAACGAAAAACAGTTGAATTTTTTTAAATATCAATGCACACTTTCATTAGACTCATTTGACAGAGATTTTTCTTCTCTTTTCAAAGGAGTAATACGTTAGCACCCATGTAGAAGAAATGGATTTTTATTTCAAGCTGTATGTGATAGGTTGCAGTTAATGGTAACCACATTTTGAACATTCATTGCGATGAAAACCAATTTACTGCTAATTTTGTTTTGTCTTCAAGGTTTAATAAGAAACGTACACGTTCATTTGTTTTATTTTAATGTAGGATATCTGGATTAATGCTATTGATGTAATTATAATGATTTTTTTGAATAAGGGCACTAACATGTTATATCATCGTAATGAGAAAAAAATCTCTATCAAATGAGCCTAATGAAAAGGTGCACTCCCATTTAAAAAAGTTCAATTGTTTTTTGTTACTCATTTGTTTTCTGAAATAAAAACAACTGAATGGGAAATAAATCGGAAATTAAAGTACAAGGCCCCATTCAACATTTCCTTGCTAGTAATGTGTCATTTTCCTGACTTTTTACGTAAATAACTATTGTGAAAAAACATTTTAGTAGGAAATGGCGATTTGTAGCAGTGCAAAGGTGCGCAAGGTTTCCCAAAATGGGTAATTGTCCTTACAGCTCGATAGATGGAAATCCGAACCATCCGATACAGGCTTTTTGAACTGCAGCCCCAGGTTCTCAAGTGTATACAGGAGAACTATATTAAGCAAGCCGAAATTTGGCATGTATGTAGGTTCCTTGGGGATTGATTTGATACCTGTTTGATACAAGTTATCAAGTAAAAGCGATTACAAGCAATTAACTGCCCCAATATTGTTTTCTCTTTGTAGGTATTTTCCTGCAACGTTCTCGAGATATTCACAATTCAGTTTTCACATCGCCAGATGTGTCTCGTTTAGACCAGTTCCTCTTCTAATTCTTAAAAATTGCGCTAAAAGTAATGGAAGAAATAGAAGAATAAATTCAAAATAAGACGATAGGAATAGTATGAAGGATCGTATGAAATAAGCAGTAACGTGGAAATAATTCATTGAAAGAGAGGAAAGAGAAAAAAGAAGTGATGGGACAGAGCGTGTGCAGAAGGGAGAAAAAGATACAGAGAAATGATGGAGAAGGAAAGAAGAGAAGTAATAGAGGGAACAAAAAAATATGGAGAAACAGAAAGAATACGAAGAGCAAGTCAGGGAAATACAGACAGAGAGAGATTTTTGGAAGGTGATACACAGAGGAGAAAAGAAAAATAGAACAAGTGGGAGGAAAATACGTTTAGAGGGATGTAAAGAACATTTTATGAAGGTACTACAAGGAAAACAGGAGAAAGAGGAAGCTATGGAAGAGGCAAGAAGGCCTAACAACAAGAGATGAGATCAAGCAGCAATTAAAAAGACTAAAGAGAGGAAAAGCGACAGGGAGAGGCGTAATAGGACATGGCACTTGGACTTTCGCAACTGATAGGATCAAGGAAAGGATCTAGGAAATAGTGGAAAAAAGGGGTCTACCTATAGATTGGAAAGAAATTTTTCCCTTGTGAGACCTAAACTAGAGTACTGTTGCTTAATTTGGTATCCCATCTATGATGTCCATATCAAAGCAGTGGAAGGAATCCAAAGAAAATTTCTTAAGTATATGTCCTTCAGGGTAGATGGGGTGTACCCAGCAAGAGGGTCTTCTCAAGAACTGTTGCTTGAGCGCTTCTCTTTTGAATCGTTAAGTAAGAGACGCATTTCTAACAGCATAAAATTTCTTCATGGCATCATAACCAATCATGTTGATTGTCCTTCCCTACTTGAATCCCTTAACATATCTATCCCAGGACGCACTTCCCGGTTTCCAAAGGCATTTTTAAATCCCATTCCCAAAACTAACATATTATCAAAATCCCCTTCCTTCATAATGTCGCGTAATTTTAACATATACTGTAGACATGCAGACATTAATTTTTCTCCTCTATCTGAAATTTTAAAATTTGTTTAAATTTGTTTTCTTTTATGTATTTGTTTTCTTTTATGTAATGTCATGGTTTAATTTAGTTACTTAATTACATTGTAATAGGTTTACTCTTATTTTATTTATCTTGCTTATTATCTTTTTGTCTATAGTGCCGCTTACGCAAACGTAACAAACTTTAATTTTGTTCTGTTATTGGATACTTTGTATCTGTAGAACAATAAACATTATTATTATTATTAAGAAAGGAAAGGGGTAATAGTGACAAGAATGACAGAAAAAAAAATTTCAACCTACTCGTGGGTGTTGCCATGTAACACAGCTGTAAATAATGAGTAACAAACAAATATAGGTCATAGAAGCTATCAATTAACCAAAGCCTTTATGTAGCCCAGGGCCCAACATCTCGATGGAACAGACAGACGACAGACAGACAGACAGATCACGGAAAATGGAGCACATAAGCGTTACCTCAACTTCGTTGTGTTACTTTGAAAATGCCTGTTCGATGCAATGGTGAGAGCAGTGGTTATGCACGGAACGGAGATGTGAGGGTGGAAAAATGGGATGAACTAGACGGAATACAAAGAAGATAACATAATTAGGCTGAGGTCAAAAGGAGAAAGGATGGAAAATAGCTGGCATAAGGGGACTTGGATGTACAAATACAACAACAGAGAGTGAATATACAGACCGCACGAGGAAGTAATAGCTACAAGAATCTAATAAGGGAATGGTTAGCACAATACCTATGTAAGGGAAGAAAAGGCACAGGAAAGGAGAATCGATATTACGATACTTGCAATAATGGTTATTGATTGTAATAGAACTCTACTTAAAAAGCATTTTCCCACTACCCGCAGCCACGGAATTTTTGGAATCGAATTTTCAGACTTGAATACCATGATCGAAATATCGAATTTTTTGTGATCATTTAATCGTAATATCGACTTAAATCGTTATGTTCAACCACAAACGTTCCAAATCGTTTGTTTCTTTTTGTATCTTTGCCTAAAGTTAAAGTGTTGTAATAGTAGAACTTTCGGCTGAAATCGGCCTTTCTCTTTTCCTTTAACTTACGTACCTATACTTGATCTGATGATATTAAATGATGAAGTATGACTGAAAATAGGTGAGATCTTGTCTGTCTAGTCTCTGATTTAATTCTATGAACGCTCTTATACTGTATCTTAAAATTCTTTTGAAACTAATGCTGTATCCATTTCTTTTTTCGCTTCCATGAAGAACATTAGGAAGTTGTTTGCTGGAGAATTTTGTAGTTAGAAAGGGGATTCGATATTTAGAAAAGTGTACCGTTTTGGACTAGGGTATTTAAAGCTGCTCAACGCGTAGGTATGCCATAAGATTATTAATCGATACGTCCACACTAGCTTTTCCGTCGTAAGTGGATACCCATTTCCCTATAAAAAAATTTACAGATTTTGCAACCATCGGTAACATTGGAAATGATAACCGTATAACGCCATATGTAAATCACAAATAACTCTTATTCACTCGGGATAACCTGCTCCACTCGCTCGCAAGCTCGCTCGTGTCGCAAACGTATACTTTCAGAATAATAAACCTCATCATAACATGCTCGTAATCCTATTAAAGGATATGTGCGAGAATTTTAGATAGAGATTTTAGAACAGGAACAAATTACATATAAGAACGGGGTTTTAAAACATAGTACATTTCGTCAAAAGAATTACAAAAAAAAGGTAAAGTTCCTAAAATACATTCGGGATTGCCTTTTTGGATTTCTAGACTGATTCTCCAAAAGCCAATATTACATCTTAAATTACAACGAACTCAGTGTTGTCCAAATCGAAATTTAACTGCAATCAACGAAGTGGAAAACCATATCCCGTAGAACCGTAAAATGCATGTTGTAAGGAAAAAATTGACAACTTTTTTATTTATTAGTATGCAAATTGACGTCAATATGAAATGGGCTATCCGAAATGGTATTTCAGTGGTTTGTGTCTACACTAGTTTTTCCGGGGCAAGAGAAATACGCGTGTTAAGAAAAAAAAACAGATAACTTTCATATTTATTGAAGTGCAATCGAATTGAACAATAGCTTTTTGGAACATAAGATCAAACTTCCGTTAAAGAATGACGATTTATAAAAAAAACAACGTACGAGTCTTTATTTGAGATATGCTTGTTCTATTTCTGAGCGAAGTGGGCCTAAACGGGGGTTTCTTTTTTATTCACTGCACTCAACTTACCCCCATCTACTGCAATTACTTTCGCGTTATTGAATTATGCAACAGAAACATTTAGTTATAAAGTTTCGCGATGGCTCGGCCATTAAAGCTTGCGTTAAATGCTATCAATTGTAATGGTAAAGAACAACTTAATTGAGAACAAAGCGCCGCTTAACTATTAATTGTTATACAATACCTTTGTTAAAGTTCTAATAATCAGAATTAGCACTTGCCGTCCAAGAAGCATAAATAATTTATTGTAAAAGGTGCGGAAAGCGAATTTATTGGTGAATACGACAGACTGATAAATTAAGCTAATAAGCGCATTTTATAATAAAAGAATTCCAATTTCCAGTTTCATTTCTCTGTGGTTCCACCAGACGTGAAGTCAGCAAATCTTAGATCGGGAAAAATAAAACGAGTTTCTTTTAAAGTGAAAATCGGTAGGAATGCCGAAATTCTAACATGAGTTAGTATCTGCGCCGTAATATCGAAGATGATTGTGGGGGTGACAAAGGCGCAAAGTTTGAAAGCGCGCGAGAGCTTGTTGATACTTTTACAATATTTGCCGGCATAGTAAAATCTGCCGTCGTTCAAGAATCACGTACTACACCTTTCAATAATTTTCACGATCGCGAATGAAAACGTCTTTAAGTTTTCCAACGCAAAACGAAGTTATGGTCATCGAGCTACAATTTTAACGACATACTTCTAGGTAAGTAATTACTTTGATTGTTTAATATTCCGACAAATGCTAAGTAAACATAAATCATTCTTACGTCTAATGATAAAATTGTCTCCCGGCTATTATTGAATCTTATTAAATGACATCACCGTCCGATTATGGAAAATGATCGTTTCAATTGTAATAGGTAAAAAAGACGTGGCGGGCCGTCGATTTTTGGACCATCGATGGGGGTGTACATTGATATAATCGAAACGCTTTAAATTAGATCTGCAACCCATAATTGGTCAAAAACGTGGGTCGGTTATTTCTGGATTATACTTTGCATTTTATTTTATTTCCATTTAATTAAAATGTGTGTCATGTATGTGCCTCACCTTATGTGCCGATATATTATGGGAGCTTTAATTTTATTTACGTCCATTATTACAGCAATATCTCCTTTTTTGCGTAGAAATGTTGCTATCGATTTAAATTCTTCAATAATTAGCAACTTTTTACGTTTCTAATGAGCCCTACGCAAACTTCCTGAAACGGGGCGGCGGCGTCGTCATCGTCTTCCTGTTATCTGCCAGTCAGTGATCGACTTTGACTTGCAAATTTGTCGATTAATATTGGCACCGTGCTCATTAGCGCCGTCGCGGAGCGTTAATTTTGCAAGTAAACATCTCACAAGCGGTCACTTAGGATAAGGTATTTCAAGTTATGAATGAATACATCAGAAAACTTGAGCCAGATTGAAGATTAATTCAAAAGCGATTCAGACGGTTTTTAGTAGTATAACTGCGTTGGTTGGGTCTTTTACATAAATTGGATGAGTCATCCTGATTGATGTGTTGGAATGCTTCATTGATAAAATTTTCGATTGGTGTTTTTCGTGTGGTCGACTAAAAATAATTTTAAATTTTCATCGAAAGGATTACGTAATCTGGTGCAGTGCCCACAACCGATTTCACCTGTCACACTCGGCGTGGACCTGCTACGTCCTTAATTATTCACGAATTTACAACTGCTCGAAGATTTGTGGTCGAGAAAATTTACGTTAATAATCAAAGGAGCAAATTTCGTAGGTCGGGCTTTGATTTAAAAAAAAAAGCGACGTGGAAACTTTCAAAGCTTGTTGCATAACGTGAAATGCGTTCTGTTATTATGTAAAATCTTGGTAATTAGATACTTGAAAGCCCACAGGGTTCACGTTTGATAGGGTAATTGACGATTCATGGCATTGTAATACCTTGATGATTATATTAATTATATTACTTAGAATGTCCCAGACCTCAAGGGGGTGGGAATCACATTCAAAAGGTTTCCAAGTTAATAGGCCCTTTGCATCAATATGGCCTAAAAGTGAATCATTATTTTACTACGTTTCCGACGCTGGACATTTTTATTTCACTTTAAATTATTTCACACCTATGAACAATAAACTCCAAGGCTACGTACTACGCTACCTTGACCACTTATTGCTTAGTCCATCAATGAAATTGAAACCTACATTTCGTTAAGTACTTTGATGGTTGTAGATCAAAACGTGGTGCTTATCTTTTCTAGCATTGTAAGATCAGGAACCCTGTATATGTATGGAACAGTTAAGAGCGGGTAACCGCGGTAACAAGTTAGGGCCGATTAATTCAACCATAGCAAAGCAAATTAGTTTGATATTGCTACTGCCTCGGATCTGTCCTTCTTGGGGGTTTTCGCAATGTACCATTCGTTTGAATATATCCATTGAAATTATTTGTCATAATAATATAAAACATGTGTTCTACTCGAGATTTTTAAAATAAAAATCCAGAACATTTAAACAAAAAAAAACAACAAATTAAGTATACACTGTGTCCCATAATACGGAGAGCGAACGAGGAGATTCCAAGAAACTTGTGTACCTAATATAGAACGCGTACAACAATTAGACTTTTTTAATTAATTACTCGGCTTGCAGTTATCGGAAAAATATGGGCTTGAAATCAGACGTCAAGTTTTTGAAGCGCGCTTCTTTTTAGATGACGCCCAGCTCAAAAGGGCGGGTTAAAATTAATTGCTACGAATTATACTCCCTTGCTTTGCCGGGCGGAAGTTTCGGAAAATGGAGTACTAATTGACACCCATTGTCAGTGCAATCGGCGAGATCAAGATAGCAAGCTGCTATCTGTAAACGCACGACCTTCGAGGCGTAAACAGCTTTTCTATCCTGGTTTTTCGTATACCAACATTAGAAAACTAAAATCGATTAATCGATAATTAACGGGCCTAAAACTTATTAACTTTCGGAAGCGGTAAAAACAATTTAAATATTCCTACAGGAAAAGGAAATTCACTATTTAATTTACGCGCGTTATTCGCGGAAAACAATCAATTAAACAAAATGCAAACACAGAAAACTCAGTCCTCGTCTTCTAGATCAAATAAGTAAATTCAAAAACTCCTTAGTAACTAAGCGCCAAACTTCTAGATACTGAGTGTTCAGCAAATCTGTCGACTCTACAAATGGTCATAACTTCGTTTGTCATTTTTATGGATAAACTATTGAGATTGTAATCGCCTCTGCTATTAATAATAGTTTATTGCTCAACAGAAGAAAAACTTCCAATAACAGATCAAATCCATGAGTAATAAAATAAGAACATTAGAAAAAAAATGTTAAATTTAAAACAGCTATGTTAAACTAGAACAGCCTATATACCTCTAAGTTTTCGTTGGAAAACACTTTCAACAACTTTAGGTCCAAGTACCTCTGGCCAATGATCATGTCAACCACATTCGCAATACACTTAGTTATACCCAGGGTTATACCTAAGCAAAATTTTTGTAGGCCTCGTCACTTAAAGGATTCACTCAACAATTTCATTTATCTAACTCGCCCTGTGGGCTCGTGTGCTCAACGCTTTTCTTGATATTCGTTTCAATACCAAAATTAAAAATGTTGTTCAATTCCCACTGATGGTTACCTAATTTGTAATTCTACTCACGCTTGAAGATGATGTTAGTGAAAGTCAAAGTGCCACATTAGACGAGTATTTCGCGGAAAAATATTTTGAAAGTCTATTAAAAAATTAATCTACCGTTCTAATTTAGCTATACATGGATATCTGATGCATTGATTTAAAGATCACCGATAAATCAAGTGAGTGATTAAAAATCACTAATACTCATTTAGCTTTACTTTGATAAACAGAAATAAACTAAATGTATTGGTATAATGACAGAAGCTCATTAGTGAAAGGCTACCGTGGTTTCTTGGTTAGATACGTAAAACAAGTTTTGAAATTAATTACATAATATAAAACAAAGTCAGTACCTCTATTTTACAATTAAATTTAAAGAAGGATTGGTACAAAATTGAGCGTGCTCCTTAATATTCATATTAAGGCAGGGATACGGTTACAATACACGAAACATACACTGAACCCTCTATGTCCGTGTTTTGGAATGAAGTTTGTTTGCTTCAGCTTTGAAGAAAACTATCCTCTGTTTTATTCTTTTCCTTACAGCTATTTTTTCACCTAATTGAAAAAGTTTTGTCAGTTTATAATAAGTTCTCGGCATATATCGAATGTATACACAAAATGTTTCTATATGAAAGTTGTTTAACATTTTATTTCCCATATTAAGGTAAGGTAGCCTTCAAATGTTTTGATTTCAGAAAACAAATGAGTAACAAAACAATTTTCGAAATCATCGAAAAGAGAAAAAAATCTCTATCGAATGAGCCTATGAAAAGGTGCACTACCATTTAAAAAAATTTAATTGTTTTTCGTTACTCATTTTTTTTCTCAAATGAAAACAACTGAATGTTGCCTTATTATGGGAAATAAAATGTTAAGTATATTATTTATGTTATAATTTTGTATTGTTTTTATTATCCTAGACTTTAGAACATTTGAGTTTCATTGTCCGCTTTGAATTTGACGCAAATGGGGGGTACCAAGCGTCAGTCCGATCGAAAAAGTACAAATTGTTTCAAATAGTTTCAAAATTGGGCTACTAGTTCAAAAGTTACGGCCCTTTGAATTTTCTTTCGAAATTGGTTTCTAGTCCATTCAATTCAATTCAATTCAATTTAATTCTTTTCCTTTGGTATACCACAGTACATAGGTCCATAACTTTTGATTAAGAAGTCCGATCGAAAAAGTACGAATTGTTTTGGATTCTACGCACCAAAATTAATACCGAAAAGTGTTTTCCCGAGAAATTTTGGTGCAGTCGATTTTTGGTAAAAAAGGAAGGTTATATACTGCGTTTTTTTGAGCCCCGAAAAAAAAATTGTCTCAGATCGACCCGGAAAAAATTTTTCTTATAGAATGTGGCCTGTAGAATCCATAATTTTAAACGGTTCCAAGATTGGGCTACTAGTTCAAAAGTTACATCCCTTTGAATTTTCTTTCGAAATTGGTTTCTAGTCCATAACTTTTGATTAAGAAGTCCGATCGAAAAAGTACGAATTGTTTTGGATTCTACGCACCAAAATTAATACCGAAAAGTGTTTTCCCGAGAAATTTTGGTGCAGTCGATTTTTGGTAAAAAAGGAAGGTTATATACTGCGTTTTTTTGAGCCCCGAAAAAAAAATTGTCTCAGATCGACCCGGAAAAAATTTTTCTTATAGAATGTGGCCTGTAGAATCCATAATTTTAAACGGTTCCAAGATTGGGCTACTAGTTCAAAAGTTACATCCCTTTGAATTTTCTTTCGAAATTGGTTTCTAGTCCATAACTTTTGATTGAGAAGTCCGATCGAAATAGTACGAATTGTTTTGACCAGGTAGGGGAATTTTCAGGGACGAGTTTTACGGGGGCAAATTACCGCACACGGTTAAATGGAGGAATTGATCCCTTTCTCCTTGCATATAAGCAATACTTCTTCGCAATTAACAACCCAAATGTCTACATAAGCTACCGTTTAGTTAAAAATCAATTTCATTTTTACGCGTCTTCGGTAGCTTCAGTTATTCGCGATGTAATTATATGTTTCCGGGGCTAAATGCTTTTGCAGGAGGTGGTGTAAGGGACACGCGATCCAGAGCCAAATAAAACATACGAAATTATATTTTTTACATAAACACAACTGGTTTATAATCTTTGGACGGAAATACACACAACTAGGACTATAAATCAAGTAATCGACGGCGACGGCGCGCCCGGCGCCTAAATGCTTCTTTAAAATTCCACATTTATGATTAATTCGACTGTTTAAAATGCTATTCAAACCGAACCTTCTGCGTTTTTCAGTTCACTTAGCGGAACAAGTTGCCGAGGATTTTTCATGTCCACATTTTATAACCTTCCACCTACGATCGTTAACTGCATGTATGTATAGAGTTATTGCCGTCATTACATAGAAAGATGTCGACAAACACATCTAAAGCATAGTGTCTACACATGATGTAAAGGTTCATCCTTCGTACAATTTCTAAGGAGAGCGATGATGAAGTGAATACGATTAAGATTGTAGAAATAAACTTGAAAATGATCAATTTGGAAATGTCGTGTTGGTGTTGGAAGTGTCTTCTCGGGCGTGGGCCACATTCATACCTTTTGTGTGTTTCGGCATTGTATTTTAATAAGCAGATTATTGTTGTTAAGTCAAATTTCCTGGTTTTCATATTGTACGATCGCAGTTAATGTTGAAATAACATTCCGAACAAAATTTATTTGAGAAGTTCGCCAAATAAAAATACAATCCAAGTTTTGTGATAAATCTCGGGTTTTTAACCTGTTCTTGGTAAAACCTACGGAGATGTCAATTGCCTACATAAGATATTTATTTTATTGAATTTGACACCTGCTAAACCGAACTTGTAACGGGCGAATTCAATGGGTCCGGGACCGTTCCATAAGTTGTCAGCACATGATTAACAAGACCACTTTCGGAAAGTCTTGTAGGATGAGGTAAATGAAGCAATTAAAAATTTCCATTTAAACACCTGTCTGTCTCATTCGGTCAACACAATCAAAACAGTATTGGTCAACATCCTCGGCGATAATTAATGTAGCATTAAATTACACGTTTAATTTCTAAAAAAAATGATTATGCAATTTGATACATTGAATCTCGATAAATAATCACAAGCAACAGGTTAGTGCATCTACGCATCTCCCACATACATAACCATATTGGAAGGCGCCTGCCCACAATCCATTCATCGGGCACACGCGGATTCCACGTCGTATGTAATGTACACATAAACATAAGAGACCGGATACACGGCAGACATGTCTATTCCAATTCGTAATAATTATTCATTATTTTGTTCTAAGAAAGTAAGTAATTTAATAAACATTTATGGATCGGTTGCAACATCGCCCATTCACTTAATTTCATCTCTAATTCTCACGCTCGGGGAGATTGCTTATGCTACCCCGTGTCTTCATCCAACGATTGTGTAGAGCTTTTTTATTTTAGTGCGAAACAAATCACATTATAATACAAGGCAAGGACGCTACATCTGTAGCGAAAATATTTGCATTTAGAACATAAAATTGCGGTAAATTCAACTCGAAACCTTGTCCCGTTGAATTCTCGCCCCAAAATATTCAATTATCCTAAAAAAATCATCTACAAGATAACCGCCGTCAATAAGGAAAACAGCTTCGTAGACCATGTAAAAAATACAACAAAAATGCGCATAGCAACCGTGATCTAAGTGGAGATGCGGAAGAAGTGCCGAATGATTCTCTTCTCGAGTAGGTAATCGATCGATTATTACAATCGATATTTAGAAATAATTCTTGGTTGATGCTGAAGGCGATATCATTTATGTTCCTAACAATCTTCTATCAGAAGATACAGACGTAAAAAAATAATTTTTCAGTTTCTTTCCTATCTTCTTCTATAGTGGGTCCGATCGTTTTCAAATGAGTGTCGTCGGAAAGTTCTTGTAAACGTGCCCAACTCCTGCGTGACGGAATTTTGTTCGTAGAGGCGAAATAAACCACCTTTTGCAAGGCGCTCGTCTTCGAGAGGTAGTCGACTTCGGCCGCCCAAAAGTTGCCTTCCCTTGTGAATTTTGTCACGCGGTTTTAGAGTTTCCTAAATCCCAAATCGCGGTCTCTCTTTCTCATGTCGCCAATAAAAGCTCGAGTTATAGGTAAGTGCCCCAGAAATTGAGTACTATTTTGTGTGCTTTTAGTTATCTTGATTTAAGTCGTCCTCGGAGGAAGCACCGTGTGGGCTCGCATTTGGGGCTCGAGTCTTAAGGTAAAGTGTTTTTGGGGTGCCTTTTCTTGAAGTACTTGCGTTCAAGTGCATTCATCCGACGCTTTAGCTTACGAAGAAAGGTGAGTGTTTCGTTTTCAACTTCTCGATGCTTCTACACGTTTTAAAACGTAAATAGAGTAACTGGATATCTTACTCTCTATACTGTATCTATGCCTCTGAAGTATGGGTATGGTTGAGGACAAAACGTGAAAACCACAACCATTTTTTCCGTAGGTATAATGTCGTTTTTTAAGGAGAAACTATCGAGAAGTTCTGAAAAAGACAAAAGAATTTGGCATAACTAATTAATCCAAAAAATCCAAAGTGGTGGATATGGAATTGTAAGCGTATTACCTACCAATGTCATACAGAATTATGGTTTAGCTTTTGCGTGTTATACAGGGTGGCCATTTGAAAACGAAACGGAGCCTATTTTGGGAACCTCAAAACATTTACGAGAAAATCCTCGGACCCGTCAATTTTTGTTTCAAGGGGGAACCATTTTTTTGTTAGTTTCGCCCCCCGAAGGGCAAAGCCCTAGCGGGGGTGACAAGTGCTCCCAAACTTTTAAATCGAATGGGGGGTAGAGTGATACCTTATTTTGAAGGTATTTTTATGTGGATTATAACCCTTAAGTTTTAAATCGCTACTAATTTGCCTAGCCGATACAGGGGCTAATAAAAGTTAAAAACGTGTCAACATTTTCTTATGAAAAAAATGCTTGTAAATGAATTAGTTAAATAACAAAAATTAATACAACAGTAAATACAAAAAATGTTTTTCTCCTACATTCTGAACCGTACTTTTTGTTGTTGTTTTTTTCTTTTTAATACCTGTAGGTGGCTATGCCAATTCTGCAACAGAAATCTTGGTTATTGTTGAGAGCGTTACTATAGCAACATTTTGAAGTTTAATAGTGCTTGTCAATTGTTGTTGTCAAATAATAGTAGTGACAAATACGCACACCTGTCGCTATTGGGCTGATTCAAATCCCAGAATATTTCGTGAGGTGCATACACAACGTCCCGAAAAATTGAATGTTTGGGCTGGCATTTTTGGTAACCATATCGTAGGCCCCATCTTTTTACCTGGCAATCTAACAGGAGAGATGTACTTGAAGTTATTAGAAAATACGATTCATCCAGCAGGGAAATCTAGTACCTATAATTATATTATATGTATAAGTTAATTGACTCATTCACATTAAGTACGAATTATTACAATCGTATTCCATGAATTTATGCAATTGCATCAAGTATATAATTACAATGTATAATTGATAGGTACGTACAATCATTCTTTTTAATTATTAAAATGTAATAGGTATCATAAATCCATAAAAAAGACGTATTATATCCTAACCGAAACCCCAAAATCAGTCGAAATGGTGCGCTACTGGAATATATAGATGGCAGGTGCATTCTTCCACTGCGCGGACATCGAAAATGAAGTTTGCAATATGGGTGATATGAAAAATTTTAATTTACGCCGTAATTTAAAAATTGTTCAAAAATACGGCTTTAGGTTTTGAAATGGTTGATGCCATTTTGACACCATAAGGTATTTAGTTACCTTCCTATTCAACAATTACTTGGGTTTAAGTACATTACAAGCATACCAAAGTTAGGGGTTGGTATACCCTCAATATACAATTTTACCGAAATCCTATAGCTAGTACATAAGTAGCCAGATTATATTAAAATACAATGTAGACCTAAGATTATATCTAATAGATAAACTAATATAAACAAAAGCAAGAAAGTTCAATAAATTGCATATTTCAGAAGCATTTATTCCTTAATGACATTTTCCGACGTAAACAATAATTAATCATAAAAATTTATTCAAATTATTGTTTACACATGTAAATGTGGTTAATGGAGTACTTCAACAAAGATTTATGGTAGCAACTTTCAACAGTGAGGCAAGTTTTTTCATTCAATGTTGCACAAATCTATGAGGAACTATTTCGGATGTAAAGGATGTACGTTTATGGTATTTATAAATAATAAATAGTCTGCCTACGGTATATTAATAGTTTATTTTTACTTTTTATCGCCCCCACTTAATTTTTTAACGCTCATTTGGCTCTAGAACTGTTCCGCCAATTTTACTTTCCATTAAGTTTTATGGAAGATGATTAAATAGAAGCAATTTCGAACTAATTTAAACTTGCAGGTTTTCTATTTTACGACATTATTAAATTGGAAAGATATTCGCCTGTACCAGCATCGCTTTTGTTTTTGCTCATCAATTAGTAGCTGTCGAACGAACGGGCCTTTAAATATTAAGTAGGTCAATTTTGATCAAACGTATTTTTAACATCCAACTATCCTTGAGTTCAATCAAAATTGACTTTGATAAATTGGCGATATCATGCAAGCGATGCCGTAATTAATTACACCACCGAATTTCCCGAAATAAACTTTTACGGAATAAAAGCTCTGGTCCTGGGTTCAAATCCCGATTCGGACATGTATAGTGGGCTGGGTTAGTACGATAAATAACTAAATTTTTGTTGCAGGTCATATCAGCAGCCTACAATGCAAATAATCGCAATCGTCGCGACCACAATTCTACATTGGGTGAACATCGTAATCGCATCGGACGATTCAATACTTGAAATCGTTAACACAAAGGAAGTGGAACGGCTGATAGCTGAACGTAAAGAAAACGCATCACGGGAGGAACGGCGCTTTCTGCTGGAAAATGCACTGGACGACTCCTACTATCCCCCGGATCAGGAGCAGGAATATCAACGCTTAAAATTGCTAGACAGTCAACTTTACCAAAAAACCGAAAATCCGAGAATTGACATCGACATTCTGCTAAAGAGGAGTAACATCTCAGACCCATTTCGAAGTACCGAATTATTGTCGGACCTTCGAGGGTATCATGGAAGAAAAGTACTCAAATCAAGTAAGAACGCGCTACTGGTAACCAAAAAGGAGTACTTACAAAGAGACTGGTGCAAAACTGAACCATTAGTGCAGAAAATTAAGGAGGAAGGGTGCTTAACGCGAACAGTAATTAATAGGTTCTGCTACGGGCAGTGCAACTCCTTCTATATTCCCAAGAATCCCAAAAAGAGGAACAAACGGAAAACGCTGCACGAGCAGGAGGATGAAGACCAAAACGGGGCCGCGTTCAAATCTTGCTCGTTCTGCAAACCGAAGAAATTTACGTGGATTACCGTCACACTGAAATGTCCCACTTTGGTCCCGATATTTCGCAAGAAACGTATACAGCGGATCAAACAGTGCAAATGCGTAGCGACCGACGTTAATTAATAAACTTTTATGAATGGCAGAAGTGTCTGTGCCATTGAATGAAAATGTGAACGCTAACCAAGAACACATTTTACAAAGCGTACAAACGGCGCCCCGAGGCAACGGATCGAGTGGGTATCGCCCATTACCTTTATGCTGATTTCTATTTATAATTTTATTATAAGCCAACCTACGTGTACCCGAAAACAATTTAGCGAAATTGTCGACGCTTTGCGTGGTTTTGGTATTAAAACGAAATTATAACCTGTTACCGCTTCATGTAGATCTCTAGATAAAAACTACAAACTGACGTTAAGTAGATAGGAGTGGGTAGAATTTCTCCAAATAGAAAACATTAATGGATAAACCGAAAGTAAAACATAGATCTTAAGATGCACGCGGTAGAACTAACATTAACACAATAACATATAAAGTTCCTATTAATTATTTTCACTTTTTGTCATATAAGATGCACGCGGATTGGAGGAACGAGCGACGTGGTAAAGTTTTAATTTAAATGTTTATAGTAGGGTAGTATTTATTATTCGTAACGTAATCGTTTGTAAAGACAGAAATGTAATAAATAAACGAATTGTACAATCTCATCGAGACAATTCAATTCAGACACATAAATATAAGAGAGTTGGATTCTTCAAGAAATGTTTGTTGGGAAAAGTAAATGTAATATTCATGAATTGGCGGCATCGGTAGGTAAGTGTGGAAGTTTGCCATATCGGAAGGGGTCGTTGATTTGTCACTTGATAATTTGGAGTTTTATTCGGGCAGTCTGTCGGGCACCGCGTCGAGTGTGTGTGTTTTTTCGCTGCCAAAAAATATCTATGAACCGCTTACGCTGATTAAATAGCGTTTGGCATGGCTTTACGATCGTATACGAAATTGGCCATTTCGGAATGTAAAAATACCACAACGTTTTCAACCCCTTAATCGACGTGTTCGTATTCATTTCGTGACACTTTTATATGCTCGATAACTTATAAAAGCGTTATTGTTGGTGTTGGGGGTCAAACTACGCCAAACGTGTCTCATTTATCACTTTAAAAATTATGACATTTCCTTGCTTATATATTTTGCAACTAGTATGTCTAGTCAAAAGTAATATGGTCTAAATTGTCCTTCAATCAGATATACACTCGTATAACACCAGGCAAAAGGACAACATAAGGCTACCTTTTTGTAGATTAACAAAAACTCAAAATTGGTTGATTTATCAATCACAGTTATTATACAATTGTATTCTCTCACAAAAAATACTTCCCTTAAAATTATTTAAAACTTCTATCAAAAATTTACTCATAGAAAATGCATTCTATTCATTTAATGAGTTTATAAGTCACTGTCGCAGAATTGAGTAAGGAATATGTCTCTTTGTTTTACTTGTATGTACTTTGCTGATATTTTTAGTTGATGCCTTTGTGTCTGTTAATTACATTTGTATGAGTTGACTAGAGTAAGTGTACCCACATAAAAACTCAATAAATATACTATTATATTACGCAAGGGGTAGACAAGAGTAAGAAGTCTTGAAGTTCACCTATACCAAATTCTTCATGGGAACCTTAGAACTTTTGTCTTCGGTTGGTTTCGAAATCGTGCTAGAACATTTGAAAACTTTGGAATAAATCTTAGAAATGTCCTTAATGATCCCCTACGGTGCGCCTTAATAATAATGACCTTTATTCACATATAGGTAAAAGTAACCAAACAAAAATGAAAGGATATAAGACTCATTAATCTGCTCTTCCACTTTACCCCAGTATTTCGGACAGCTAAAAGCAGGTTGAATGCAAAAGTTGATATGACTTTTAAAATCAAAACCGCTATCCATGATTAGCACTAAGTTCTTGAGTTCCCTTTTTATTGAAATAATGTGATTGTCTGGTCGTCAGTATTTATATATATAAACTGCTGGTAAACGTTGCGATTGTGAGCCGCTACGAACTTAAAAGGATTAAAAGTTAGGAGGACATTTAAATCTCTGGTAAGTTTATCTAGAGCACGGTGTAGGTACATCAAATGGTGCGAATGAAAGCTGTAATTGTGTATCAGTACGTTTTAGCATAGTGTATCTATTCTTATACACTATGGTTTTAGTGTTGTTGTCGGATGTGCAAGCGGCGCGTCGCCATGTATTTATGTAGTCAAAAATACCTTCTACCCGGTTTTCCAAACTCTGTCACCAAGTTTCCAGGTTGTTGTGCACCCTTATACTTTCTTGTCCCGTTTTCGTGACCACAATTTAATATGTCAACGAAGCCAGGATAGAAATATTGTTTAGCATCTCTGGAGAAACTGCCTCCCACCCCAATTATAACGAGTCTATACAGAACAACAGAAGTATTGCACTTGCTGAGCAAACGAAATTTATTCACAACCAAGTTCACAATCTTTACTTTTGTTAGGACGCTCTTTATCCAGCAATGAAGCCCATCATTTTTCAAGTAAGTGTTTGTATTATTGAATTTGGTTGGAAACTGGACAACAAGAAATGAGAGACAGATGTCAAACATTTCGTGCAATTGCACTAAGTAGGCAAAACTGTAGTAAAATTAAAGTATGTAATACATTAAAATGACACTTAAAAACTTTTAAGAAAAGCTGTGCACGCAATCGCCCTTAATATGTAGAAAATACGCGAAACATGTCATTTTTACTCTTGCACAACTTCCGGTTTATATCAGCCACAAGAAGTGGAAGGTATACATGAATGGTACCATTTTAAAGGTCTTTTTATTGCTCACAAAATTGTAGTAAGGAAAAAAATTGTGAACAAATTCAAGTTTCTGGGAACAATCGCAAAATGTCAAGCGATGTTTTTTGGGCTCAAAATGTCCTCATTTGACTCCAGTGGTCGGCTTAGATTTGTACAGTTTGATGCAGCATTGACTGTGGTACCTATAGCATCAGCTGCAACTAGGTCATTCACAGAAAGAATCCAGCTGCTTCAAACATGGTTTTCTTCACGCGAAGATTCTCAACTGTGTAGACAACATCCCGACGAGATACGGAGCAGTTTTTTAAACTTGAGAAACTCCTCAATGATTTCCTCCCCACATAAAACAAATATTCTGAAATTTACAGGATTCTGACGAGCCTCTTGATCCTTTTCTGTATGTCGATGGTTATAACTTTATCTTCCTCGAGTGTATTGCAACAAATAAAACAACATCCCGGCGGACTGAGAATGAGAACCCTATTTCTGACCGAAAGAATAGCGAAGGGGAAAGGAAAGGGAAGGAACACCTGCGGGTCGAGAGAAAGGAAAGAGGACCGAGAATCCATTAATTTGCTAAATCTTCTCTACGACTGTTCTCGTAAAACAACTTCAGAGCTGGTTCTGATTTCAAATTGTAGTAATTTGAGCCTACTTTAAAAACCCATAGAACACACTTTTTAACAAAACGCATAGTTTAGGACTAATATTGAAATGGCCAAAAGAAGAATTTCCCGGGTTTTCGAGTGTTGCAAAATCTTTGCAATTGCAAATTTGGGTATACGCTACTGGTAGTGGTCCTAACAACACATTAAAATATGTGCCAAATTCTTGGCAGAACAGCTTCCTAGCTCTAATCAAAAAGCCCTCTTCACCGTTTAACGTCTCCGCACGGTTTTTGACTTTTGTTTGTGATTATTACTAATTCATTTATTGTCGAAAGTCAGTAAACACGCGTGGTGTTAGAAAGGCATTAATATACAATTAAAAAATGATTTTTCATTTATTGACATGTAATTCATATTCTGTTTTTCTCAATCTAACAACCTGGTATTATTTACAGTATGCAGTCATAACAATTCCCCTATTTTAAAAATTGAACTAACAACACAAATAATCTTACAGTCTAGCCGGTGGCCGCCTTTGTCTTGAATTTTCGACTTCAGGTTCAATACAAATTTCACTTTATGTTGAATTTATACTACCATCGAAGGGCAGCAACTCGTTTATGCTGGGCCTTTTCCCCTAACCACAATCTTATTATACTACTTATGTTTTTTTCGTTTTGTAGTATGGAATTTATAAAACTTTTTTTTGTATTCATGAGAATAAAGAAATGTATTTATTTATTTATTTGGAAAGATTTCAATATTGTCACTAAATTTAACATGTTTGGCATCTGGTAATTTTAGTAATCTTCCCTGACCTAAATCTAAAGTTTCTACTGGTGCTGGATAATAGTGTTAATTGTGCCCCAGAATCGACTTCGAATTCTTGAGGTTTTTCTTCTTCTTCAAATTCACAATTTCTCGTATTTTTTTAATGCAGCAACATGTATTCTGCAACTTTTTGACTTGATCCTTGAGTGCGAGTGCAAGACAAGAATAAGTGCTGTTAGATAATAACGTTTCTTTTGGGTTGATATATGCTTTTCCATTAATTTAACGATTTCTTGATATTCCAATTCGTTAGGCATTAAATCATAGCGATGTCAAGAGAGACTTGATTCATGCTATTTAGTAACATTTGTGGAGCTGTCGTTGAAAGCATTTTTCATTTGCAAGAAATTTTCGAATTTTCTTATTTCTGTTACTGAGTCGAATTAGTCGAAATTTGGTAAAATCGTTACATTATAGAGTTTATCTTTGGATCTGGTTGAATTTGACGTTGCATCAACACATTCAGCATTTTTTCGTTATTTGAATTCATCTCTTTTAAAAGTTCTCCAATTTAAACTGCATCCACTTCAATTTAACTCTTCGTCGCCAATTTGTTATGTCGAGTGGTGTTAGCAATGCTTTATATTTGTATATTAATAATAATAATTCTTTGTAAATAGAAGACTGAAATGATTTTTCATTTATTGACATATGCACTTGATATTCTGTTTTTCTCAATATAATAACTTGACAATGGTGATCGAAATAGACACCTAGCTCGAACTAAGAAGCTAAAACTCAGAACTATAGTCAGTATTTTGCAATTTTAGCGATTTCCAGTGTAAAATGTGAACGAAATTTGTTTGGTATTGTTGCAACCGGATTGCTTTAGCAATAGCACCCTAAATACCTAATTGTGGAATATATGCTTGAAATGAAAACCATATTCTTGAATCTGCAGTGTGTGCCTAAGTACAACCATCACTAACAATGGAATTTAAATAAAAATATCGACATTTAATTTTCCCAGGATTTACATGTAGGTCAATTGAGCTTTCTGGAGACAATCTGGGATTGTAGAACTTTTAGTGACGTAAATTTAACTCTACGTCTTTATGCTGCGGTAATTTTTAGTGCATTTATTTTTAAAAATTCATCCAGTATACTGTAAGTAGAGAGTTAATAATGAGCTCGAACTAATATCAAAAGTGCATATTTTAAACATTAATGAGCTCACAGTTAATTTCTTGGACTTAATTACAAAGAAACAGTGTCAGTAGAAATAAGAAATTTGACAGAATAAGGTGCTCATTTTATAATTTAAAATTATTAATCCCGCCTTTACGAATTAAATAACTGCCTGTAATCGACTTTTATTCGAATATCTTCCAAATTGTAAATGTTTCACTTTGAACCGCTGCTAGGGAAACTTCGATAACTTTACAGTAAAATTGAATTTAAGTTGCGAATTAGTTCAATTTATTTTGGTAGCTAATCTCAAGAGGTTATGCTCACATCATCAGTTACACTATGAACAGAATTAAGATATTTCCAACTTTATACTACCTATATAACGAATGGGACGTTTAATCCAACGCATTGTTAATCAGATGCAGTTATTTCGTTAAACAAATAAAAAGGAATCTGAACTATTCTGTTAACGTAAGCAATTTACATGTTCTGTTGCTTCAAATATTTGGATGTTATCAGTGAATACCAAGGAATGTGGGCTTTTCAAAATTTACTGGTTGTATTCACAGTACCTAGTGTTGATAAATATAGATTCCAATAAAAAGAAACGATAAACTAAAATTGTATTAGAGCAAACAGAGACCTATCCTAGAACAATTGAAAATTAACAGCTCCAACCACAATTCAACACTTACTGGAGTATAATACCACAGACAACATAGTATATGTTGTCTGTGATAATACGAAGCAATATGCCAGAACCGTCGTTCGATACAAAAACGCTAGTTTGCATTAAGAGAATACATTTTATTTCAGCAATGACATTTTGAAAATAGAACGGAACCATATGATTTGTCACAACATTATAATGTTCTGTTCCTATAATATAATAATCTTAGACTAAAGTGATTATAAGCGGCGTTCTTTTTGAAATGGTTAACCACATCAAGCGCTCACACAACTACTATATAAATATTAAAACACCATAAACATTTTACTTCAATAACGTCAAAGAAGGGAAATAACATTAAAACAGAACAACGATTGTTACAATAGCCATCATCAGTAATCATTCCGAAATTTCGATTGTGCCGTTTTATTTTTCTTGGTTCCTTTTATCGTATCCGAAATGGAAATAAGAAGTACGCTTTATAGTACTTGACGAGTCAAAATGACAACTGGGTTTTTCCAAATCGCGGTATGATTTTATCGGGTGTAGTTAGAAGACGTTGGAACGCTTGATACAAACTGTAACTTTTCCATCAAACGTTCGGTTGTCTTTTGACCACACTTAAAAATCAATAGGGCCTAACTACGCGGCTTGAAAACACCTTTTAAATTCATGTCTTTACAAGTCTAATCTGGTTTGATATGTTTTGTAACCAGCTTACACAACTTTGGGGGACCAACGAATCGTTAAACCAAAAAAGTGCAATGTGCGCTCCTTGGTCTCTCAAAGTGATTAACGTTTAAGATAGTTTTATCTTACAAGGACTTTGATTAATTAGAAAAGTTTAAAAGAGAAATGTTGAGTCCTCATCCATTCTTCCTTCTTGTTGGTATAGTATGGGGTCTACTTCTTGATACTTGAGAACATCCACAAACATTCAAAGCGTCTAGTGAATCTAAAATTTAAAGCAGCCTGCACACGGGTGCACCACTTAAAGCGCTAGAGGGAATTTTTCTAGGCGTGGGGTCATGCAAGAAATCTTAAGCCGTTTTCATTGCCGTGTCGTTTCCAGAAAAGCCACAGCAACTCCAACACCAGAAACACCCAATTCACATTGCTCTTGCTCGAATAATGAAAACAGTTGTTAAAGGCGTAGAGTTGATTTTAATTTTGTTAGCTTTCTTAATTTAGACGTAAACCTTCGTTCCCTTTTTTGCCGCGACGGGAAGGCGTTCACCAGCGAGGAAAGGGTTTCCGCCGTAGCTCTGAAAATTATATTAAACGCATAACTCAAAAATTTTCATTAGCGCTGTACGAGATTAACTAAGAGAAGGCGTATTTGAAACACCACACGCAACTTGCTCGAACAAATTTATTGCTCTCCCGATCGTCGTCATGCACTCCACTTCCCTTACCTTTTTTTCGGTAAATTTCTTCGCGACTAAATTTTTGTGCTGCAAACTTGGATCAACCTGAAACGTAGTCACGAAGGACCAGAAAGTAATTGTACCAGTTGACATACCTGCATAGTCCGCTGCAGGAATCGATTGAACTCGAGGTCGTTCAATGCGTCAATAGTTTCGTCTTCCGGTGCAGAATCGGCCGGATTTGGGCAATCAAACATATGTTCGCTGTCGCACATGCAATCTTGAGCCGCTTGGTATCGTCTGCTAAACGACGCCGTATTTTCGAAACTTTCCAAACATCCTTGTTCAGCTTTAATTTAAATGAAGGATTAGATTTGCGTACCTGACGTCTGCACGATAATATTAATTAAGCAATATTATAACACGTCCACAATTTTCTCCTTCTGCGTAGAAGGGACATTTGTTTCCTATCACAATATTAATATTTATTTCGTGTTGCTATCCCGATATTAATATTAATAACGCCATTGAATGTTAACCCACATAGCAGACCTATACATTGCATATACCATGTTGTACATTCCACGTGGGATATTGTATATCCATAGAATGTGGAAAAGTATGTCGCAAATGTCCGATGTATGTGCAAGGGATATAAGCATTAGCGTATCCAGAATGTCCTTGAGGGGGGGGGGGGTTAGGATATTCGCGCCGAACAGGTTATTAATTAACTTTTAGTGCTTCTGGGAATTTGCTTGGTTTGTAAGTATACCTACTTACGATTTCAGGTTCTAACCTAATCTGGAAGGAGAAATATGCATAGGAACTTAGTTTAGAACGAAAGAATATGTCCAGTTTGTGAATGAATGTTAAACAAACGATTATTTTCATAAGTATTATCAAAGAAATTATTTTGAATAGAATATAAATATAATATCAAACTAAAACATATTTTCGATTCATATTAGATATGAAGTAATAATAAAGTAATAAATGTATAAAGAAGTAAATATGAAGTTAGATAGACGGAGTGGAAGTTTCCTTTTTTTGAGAGCAAGTTCATCCAACACTTCCTCAATTACCTTACAGCAATATGCCTGTGAATATTCAGCAAAGCTACACCATTGAGGCGATTTTCGCTGATGGTATTTCTGAAATAAGTTTTGAGCCTTCTCAGGGTAGAAAATTATCTTTCACTGGTGGCAGTTGTCAAAGGTAAGGTAACTAATATTCTTAGTAAGATATTCACTGTTGGGAATATTTCTGGATTGAACATTTTCAGTGCGTCCAGAGCATTTTTTTGGTGAACTGTGTGAGGAAGAAATATATTGCCACCAAAGTTTCATTTCACCAACTGCTGCTTCCCCATCAATATCCAAGATATCCCCGACTTGTCGCGTAGCATCATTGCTGTTTTTGTGGGTGCCCCGCAATATGCAAGTGCCGAGGAGAGCGCATCATCTAAAGGGGGGGGGGGTTGAACCCCCAAACCCCTCCCTTGTATACGCCACTGGATATAAGTTTGGCAGACTTCACATAATACATAGTATATATGTTTTGGATGTCTTATGTATATGCATGTATATGCATCAGACATGCTATGTATATTGGTATACTGACAACTGGATATATCATGAATATTCCTGTAATATGCAAAAGATGTTCAATAGGATATTCTATGTATGTTGTATACATTCAGAATGGATGTTCTATAGAGATTCCTCTAACATTCGGGAAGTTTACTAGCGTCCATACAGAGCTGGGCAGTATTCGATTTTGTAAATACTTTTTAGTATTCAAATCCTTTAAAGTATTCAAATACTTTGTAATTAAATACTTTTATGGAAGCAGTATTTGTATTTGTAACTCAAATACTTTCACAAATATTTAGTCAATTTCGAAAGAAAATTCAAAGGGCTGTAACTTTTGAACTAGTAGCCCAATCTTGGAACTGTTTGAAATTATGGATTCTACAGGCCACATTCTATAAGAAAATTTTTTTTCCGGTCGATCTGAGACAATTTTTTTTTCGGCAAAAAAAGGCAGTGTACAACCTTCCTTTTTTACCAAAAATCGACTACACCAAAATTTCTCGGGAAAACACTTTTTCATATTAATTTTGGTGCGTAGAATCCAAAACAATTCGTACTTTTTCGATCAGACTTCTCAATCAAAAGTTATAGACTAGAAACCAATTTCGAAAGAAAATTCAAAGGGCTGTAACTTTTGAACTAGTAGCCCAATCTTGGAACTGTTTGAAATTATGGATTCTACAGGCCACATTCTATAAGGAAATTTTTTTTCCGGGTCGATCTGAGACAATTTTTTTTTTCGGGGCTCAAAAAAAGGCAGTGTACAACCTTCCTTTTTTACCAAAAATCGACTACACCAAAATTTCTCGGGAAAACACTTTTTCTTATTAATTTTGGTGCGTAGAATCCAAATCAATTCGTACTTTTTCGATCAGACTTCTCAGTCAAAAGTTATAGACTAGAAACCAATTTCGAAAGAAAATTCAAAGGGCTGTAACTTTTGATCTAGTAGCCTAATCTTGGAACTGTTTGAAATTATTACTTTTACTCCCCTTAAATTTGTAAATAACAATAGAAATATAAAAAAAGCTAACCCCATACAAAGTGTAACTTGATTTTTTAAGTACTATTAAGACTTTTATATAGTATACTATTTTACATTTTTAATGTATTCGAGTCACAAGTATTTGAATACTTTTTACTGTATTCGAATACTTTTCAAAGTAAGTTTCAAAGTATTCGAATACTTTTTATAGTATTCGAATACCTTTGATAGTATTAGAATACTTTTGAAAGTATTCGAATACATTCTAAAGTATTTGAATACTTATTTTTTAAAGTATTTGAATACTTTTCAATGTATCTGTATCTAGTATTCGCTTGTGCTGGACGTAAAAGTATTTAGTATTCAAATACCTTTGATTTGTGTAAAGTATTTACTATTTAGTATTCAAATACTTTTTGAATGTATTCTGCCCAGCTCTGGTCTATACCTTCATAAATAAATTCTTTTCACGGAGTGGAGCTTTTTGTTTATTAAGTCTCTTAGTGTACAATGGAAAATGTGCTTAAGAAATTATTATTGTTTTATTTATCACTGTAGTCTTGAGTCATTTTGATCGTGTTCTTGTTCAACACTATAATAGCGCGAGTTCATAACAAATAGGTTGCTAACATACCTGCCATTCTTGTCCTTATATTAATTCCCATCCAGTCTTTACATCTCACTAACACATATTTGCAACTTTAGATCATGCACACACGAAATAAAAATCATTACTTTCACTGTCAAAATTAGACAAACAAACTCATTAATAACTCGCAGAATAACACTCCTGATTTTAGAAAAATGAGCTGTATTTGCAATAGCACCTTACTATCTTCATCGCCGTAATTCACAGAAAATGAGACGCTAACGTTTGTAACGTCGGTAATACAGAACACGCATGTATCAAATCCAAAACGCATATACATAACACATAATCCCATGTATATACACAGCACATCCAAAATGTATATTTATAGAATATCCATACTGAACATAAAATACATATGCCTATCCTATAATGAATATACATAGTATATACATAAGATGGACATTATGGATTTAAAATGTATATATATATAAGATATCGAATGCTATCTGGGAACCGTGTGTAAGGGTTTTGTGCACGAAATCTGGAGGTGTCATTTTTAGGAATTAAGTGCTCAAATTTTTGTATTGTGCAGACAAGGGGCTAAACTGCGTACGTGTAAAACCACTTTTTTAATTATTATATAATTTACTATTTAAATTAATTGTACAGCAAAATCATGACACGCTCTTTCCTCGATTAACTTTTATATACAACCATTTTTCTAAAGATTAGGTATGATTTTGAGCACCTTTCGTTCCAATAGCAAAAAAGATACAGTAAATACCCTATTAATGCGATACCCTCCTTCCAATTTGTATCCAGGAAGAGAGGAAAGTAAATTAGTGTTACCCTTAAAGCTCTTATTAAAATTTTAATGAATAGTGGGTGGGTGGTTTCCTAAAGGTTTCCAGAATTATTAACCTACAAATAATTTTTTATTGTTCTGTTTTGATTTTGTACACAAATGTTTGATTTTGTTTACAGGGTGCATAAACCACCCGTTAAATGCATATAAAAGTATGGTCTTTTCCGTATAAAATTACAATTTTCTTAAGAAAACTCAACACACGGTTTATTGTGACGGCTATAATTGTTGTGTTACTTCACTTGTCTGATTTTGTGTACAAGATCTATAAGACGCCTTTTAAATGCACGTAAAACTTTCCTATTTTAAAAAATTGACTTAAATCGTTATTTTTTTGTTATTTGCGACATTTTCAATTAACTACATGCGAAATAAGATCAGTCACTAGTAGGCGTGGACACTTTGTAACCCGAAGGCCCAATCTCGAAATGAGTATAACTTTTGTTTGAAAAGTGATTTTAAAAAACTGTTCGACAATTTTGTTCCTTAACTCATCAAAGTATGTACACAACGAATATTGTGGAATTCTCTCCATTTTGGGCCCGTTAACTTGCTCCCCTCCCCTCTCCACCTTGAGATTCGATAGTCGTATTATTATAAGTGAATGCGTCACCGATAGATAATAACTCTTGCGCCATTACCGTTTTTTAGAAGTCGAAAATACATTTGGTCAAGTGTACGCATTAGGGTAAAGTTAATAATTTAATGTAATAGTGTACAAAGGACTAAGTCAAGGATCTATAAGGCTGAATTATTATTTTCAAAAGAAAATTGCGTTGCGACTCTGAAATGTTTCGCTATATGTACATTCCTTTACTACACGTAGGTACATCTGAAACGGAAGTTAATTAAAAATGTAAAATTGGAGATCGTAAAAAAAGTGGGGTCTATTTAAACTTAATCCCGATAAAGTAAATTTTGACCTTTCCAAACAAATTAACCTCCAAAGGTCGATATCTTAAAAGTACAAAGACGTTCCTCCCCATCCCGATCGCAATACGTTATTTTTGTTGTCTTCGAATATTGTAATTGTAACGGTTTCTTTGTGCAAATATTTCCGCCATTGGGCTCAATTAATTCAGTTTCCTGAATAAGGCGAATTACATTTAAAAGCGTCGCCCTAATTATATCGTTGGACGATTGACAAACGGAATAATTAGGTAATTGATACTGATTTCTCTACGCTGATCCAAACATAAATGCCATCTTCAATTTGAATACGTTGAAAATTAGTCCATTTGCAGAACGTGGGGATGTTTACTTGGGATTTAAACGTCAAACGAACCGATACTTCACGTTGTACCTTTCTTAAATTTTGCTCAGTCGAAATAACGATCCAGAATTGTGCGATAGCGATAGTTACAATCGGTTTAAAAAAAGACGTAGGAGGAATGTATACAAAGGACTTCTACGCTTCGCTTTCAAAAAAAGATGCGCCTCGTTAACTATTGTCAATCTAAATTGGATTTGCGATAAAAAGCTTGAATCGATAGGTATCTCGAATTTAATTACCTAAAAAAAAATCACCTGTATATCCCAAAGGACACGGATTTGGTGGAGTGCAATAAGCTGGTAAAGTGGCATCGGTTTTAATTTCCTGTTTATTCTTAAATGTACCCTCCGGCTTTAATCGCTGTATTCCTTCCCCAGCGCCACCCGATACGAATTGACTACCCCACAGGCTATTTTGTTGTAGAAACTCTTGATCGCGTAAACTGGGATGCAAATTATTTTCGCCCAAACCGTCGTAGTCCACCGGGAAAAACTGCTCCTCCTCCACGTCCTTGCCTATTGACCGCGTACCCATAGCCATTCGATTATCGGGGAAGTCCAAATATATACTATCAGTTAGATCCTTGCCCATCCTATTCATTACCTCCTGCAGGAATATATCGGCCAGCAGAGAGTCCTAGAACCGAAAGGGGCCATTAGTTCTGCGGCAGCATAATTTCAGTTTGTGCACGTTGATTAAACCACGCGTGCGATGTCTGTTTGCTAAAATTTAGTCAACAACGTATGGATATACACCCACATTAGCTCATTGAGGAAGTAGAGAAATATATTTACCTTCCCCTCCGGCATGTAGCATTTTATTCCAATAACAAAACCAAATAAAAATAGGAAGGTCTTCATCGCAATGATCGACCTGAAATGACACAGAAATATTAATTACGCACGAGTCATATTTTCACATAAACAACTTAATTAAATTTGTTTAGTTTTGTTTTCGGTCCGCTTTTCTTTTCGAAACAAATTAAAAGAATGTGGCAGTTCAGATGGTTTCGTAATTTTCGCAAAGACCGATTCAAAGGCGAGTGGAATGAAAAGCACAACCCAAAAGTTTTCCTAATAATAAATCAATTAGCGGGGTCGTTGTTATGAAATATCGTAATCGGATATTGTAATACATCCAAATGGGTCAGGGGTGGATTACACGTGTTGGCTTATCCTCATGCACATTTCTCGGAAAAATTAAAACAGCTCGCCGTAAATTATTATTAAATATTCCTGTTCCGTCGATATTATTTTTTTATTATACAGGGTGTGAGTGCCTATAATACAAGGTGTGAATCCTCGGGTGATTTTAAGGATAAAAGTTTATATCAACATATGTCCTAAACCTCTTAGTTTTTGAGCTACAGTAAAAATTTTAAGAAAAAATCTTTTACGTCAAAAAATGCTCCTTAATGCTGAAAAGGTGTGTACAAAATTTCATAAAAAAATCTATGACTGATAAAAAATTATGATAAAAAACTACAGCTACAGTTAAAATTTTATCAAAAAAGTGAGTTTTTTATCATAATTTTTTATCACTCATTTTGTTTGATTCGAATTCCTGGTGCTGCAAAACATGTATTTTCGTCAAAAAAAGCGGGGGGGGGGGAGCATTTTTACCCCTATGCAATACCCCCTTTACTAACGTGCGGGTGGTAATAACGTGCGAGTGGTAAAAAAGGCCCCAAGATATCCATAAAAGAATGGTGGCAGGGTATGAAGAAATTCGTCCCCCCTATGTTCAAGTAAAAGATTTTAATGCAAGGAGTTCAAATGGAGCAGGAAATCCTTCATGATTGTGTAGTGTAGCACGAACTGACGGGATCATCAGCAAAATTGAAGATTTGGTGTTGATTGGCCAGCGAATAAAAGCCACGGTTGCCGCTAAAGACAAGGGATCACAAACGAGTGTTTTTACAGGATTTGGCAAGGAGCAGTGTCGGCACGATGGGTTCACAAGGGCCAAGATACCTGGTCTTGAACAGAAACAGCAGAGTACATAATGTGCAAATTGTTTCAGAAGTACCTAATCAACGAATTAGTTGTAGTAGACTTAAGAATTAATGTGTGCTGTTAACGTTAAAGGGCGTTGTGTTGAAAAATAAAGTTTAGTTTGCCGTTTGCTTCTCCCCTTGTTTTTTACGCTGCGAGAAAAGAATTTTGTAGCCGAAATAACATAACTTCCTCTCTAAAAATTCAGAATTAAACAACACCAAAAACAATCGACAAACTGGCCTTTAGTTTATATGCCTTTTAAACTTATTGATTTTAGCGTAGGTATCCTCCCAAAAATTACTAGCACTTGTTGTTCGCGCGGAGAAGGGCTAACTTAATAGGTACCTACGCGGTCAACAGTGAGTGTAGTTTTCGACTTCGAGGACCTTCATGAAACTTGGGGAGGTATTTAAACTTAAAGTCCAAATTGAACAAGTTGCCTTTGAGTTTTACATTGAGAGCTGCATTATGCAGTTATATAAGATACACTCACAGTTTCACCAGCTAAAAGATGTGGGTTTTTTCATCATCTATGCAAACATTTGCTTCGTTCAGAACTGTTGTTTAACTAAATTAAATATATCCGTCGGGGGAAATTTACCTATTTAACCGTACAAGCTGCCGTTGCTCAATACTGTTACCTTCAGAAATTGCTTCCATTTAGAACCGTAAAATTATAAATTTTTCCATTTTCACAACAAAATTATGTCAAAGTTAGTAGTCGTGTGATTTTTTAAAATTCTAAATTGTTTATGCTAACAAGTTGTTAACCCACCACTGGGCGTTAGTCAACGAATCCCTGCCATTTCAAAAGTTGTATGTAACAGATAAAGGACTTATTCAAATGATGTTAACGTCAAGCTTTGGTACACAAGGAACGAGGTTTACAGCAATTATAAAATAACCACAAGCTCATTAATTCGGCGTTGTTTTCGGATTTCAGCTATGTATAATTATTCATTACTCGTAACTTCATTGTGATGGCACGTTTTAATGACTGGTGGCAAGCTACTGCCGCCAAATTTAGTTAATTACTCGTTATTATAGTTAATTTAAAACGGACGGACGAACAGTAAGAAGTAATTCTTAATTATCTAGAATAAGTAGATTTTTTAATGATGCGTAATGATAAATCAAATCTTGAATCATAAAATTAAACTTATTGCTTTTTGAGAGGGCGAATCTGAAAATGAATTGTGGATATTTTATTGGACAGCTCCCTGTCAGGTTGGTGGCAATACTCACATTATTTATATGTAAATACGGTCACCTTTAAACCCTATCATCAATTTCGAAATGACGCCCTATATTAATACGGTAGAATTGTTTGATCCAGCCGATCGTCAAATACACACATATACACTATACAGGCTCTTTCACGCAAACCGTTACCTAAAATTATTTAACTTACATTAATAATTTAACTCTGAAAATTTGCATCGAGCATAGTTTTTCCTGATCTATCGAACCTTACTAAAAAGCAATTTCATAAAACCAAGTTTTGCGGACCCAGTTGTTGCATTGGTGAATACGATAGTTTAAAACTGTAGTTTAACATCGTGGGTTACGCAAAACGAAGTTTTCAAGAACGGAGGTTCCAGAATGTTTGGTGAATTCCGACCTAAGAAGAAAGACGTCAATTATCAGCTGTCATCCCTTTATATCAGATCATTCATTACAAAATTGATTCATGTGAAAAATTCTTTTCTCAATTAAATTTTGTAGTGCCTAAGTTAATATCGAGAAGTGCATCCTTTTCTTACTTAACCTATAACTAATGTACGAGACGAGTAAACTTCCCTCTTTACAGAATATGCACAATTAGTAATAAAATTGCTTCACTAATGGACATACAGGGTGTTTTTTCACTGACAGTTCTCAATATGATCCTTCAAACTGCATCAACGAAGCAGCAACATGTATTCCGCCGCTCGAAAAGGTGAAAAGAGTAGGCACAGTAGCTGAGGGGTATGTGAGCTATTCAGTGCCGAGTATCGGGTATTTTTGGTTGCCGGTAGAAAACAATTCGAGCACCGATTGTAATTTTACACGTTTATATCTCATATGAATAAATTTGTTGATTTAGAAACAATTTCTACAGTACTGTGGCAGATGATTCGCGAGGAAATTCAATGCTATAATGACTGAAACAATTGATGCAATGTAAATTTCCCTATGGCTCATTTTAAATAACTCAACGCTTTTACATTGTCGTATCTTAAAAAAAACACCGTGGTTATCACCCGGTATTCAACATTTTTAAAAATTTCTGTAAAACTGCATTGCATGAAACAATATAGCGCTATTCTATTTGATAAAACGAGGTAATTTGTAATAATTGTTTATTCTGTAGCCTATTATTGGCGTAAAAGTTGTTGGTTGCAGTTAACATAGCTAAATAAATACTTAAAGAGATTTGGAACAAATTCCGGGTTTTAGAAGGTTCCTGTACTTGTTAACGTTGCCAAATTGCTTTCATTCTATTCCATTATGCTATTAATAAGCCCTACGGCCTTACTACTAATGAACTCATTAGTCTAATTGATTTCTTTCAGTCAAACTTAATATTGCACAGAAGTGAAAACTGACCAGATAATAATATCTTATCTTATCTCTTATATCTCTATAGGTCTTTCTCCTAATGCTACCTCATTACTTCATAGCTACCTAACGGTGCGTTACTTTAATGGGTAAGTCATCTGTGTACAGGGAACTATCTAGGGGTCTGCCGCAAGGGTCTATTCTTGGCCCCTTATTGTTCACTATATATACTTTGTTTTATACATCACTTCCTAAGACGTGTCTAGTTCACATGTATGCAGACGACATGCAGTTGTACCACTCCTTTAAAAGTGAACATTTACACGAAGCGCTAAATCTGATTGAGAGTGACCTTAAGGCTATTGAAAGGGCTTCTTTGGAGCACTCGCTGGTTCTCAATCCTCTAAAATCGGCAGTCATGTTGTTTGGTAACAAGCAGAAAGTCACCGACGTGAAACATTTGGTAAAATTCAAAATTGGCGACAACGCTGTTGCACTAAAGGAGGAAGCAAAAAATTTAGGAATAATGATAGACAATTCGTTTAGATACAACAAATTACTCACTAGCTACATTCAGAGAGCATATGCAAATTTAAAATGTATCTTTCCCCATAGGCACTACTTGTCCCAACGTTTAAAAGCTCAACTCTGTAACGCGCTGGTACTAAGCCACTTTAATTACTGTTCGCACGTCTACGGTCCGTGCATCACTCAGGATATGTCTGCAAGAATACAGCGAGTACACAACTCCTGCATTAGACTAGTATTTGGTCTTAGGAAGTTTGATCTAGTATCTTCCAAACTAAAAGAATTACGCTGGTTCAACATGAGGGATAGGCGACTGTTTACTGCGGCGTGTCTGTATCATAAAATTATCTGGAACAAATCTCCTCCATATTTATACCGCAAAATATCTTTTAGAACCGATGTTCACAACTTAAATTTACGGTTTAGCAGTGGGATTACTCCACCCTCTCATCACACAGAAATGTACAAGAGATCTTTTAGTTATAATATTTTTAAAGTATATTCGTCTGTTCCAGATTTGATCAAGCCCCTTTCTCCGCAGTACTTCAAAATTAAATTGCGTCAAATATTAGCTGATGACTCTGTACGTACGTTGTAGATTGTCATTCATATTTATCTTGTTCAAATTGTCTCTCGTCTCTTTGTCCGCTTTTCTTAGTATATTACTCAATCTCTTTTCATCTCATTCTCATTTAGTTACTCCTATGTGCATTTATTACTATTTCATATTTTCCTTTTTATTATATTACTCAGTTATAAGCATTACTTGATTATGTTAATTCTAATTGTATTCAGGGAGTCGGTGGAAGATCTGAACCTGCCTGTGCAGCAACTGACCCGATAACCCCTGTGGTTTCCATTTCTTTAATTTGGTGGAAATAAACACATTATTATTATTATTATGGTCGGTGTTTCTTGTGAGAACTCAGGTCTAGCCTGGTTAACTAATCGCACGGATTAAAATCAAGTAACGATTAGTGTCTGTGTCTGGTGAAGTTATTATTATTATTATTATTATTAATATCTATTAATTATTATAGGAACAACATGAGTATTGTTATGAAATAATAATTATTTATTTCTTTTCTTTGTTCTTCAATTCATTTAAAACGGTTAATACAAACATTAAAAAAATATACATATACACCAAAAGAATATTTACGCAAAGATCATAACAAGCAAGTAGACAAGTAAACAGGCCTGTACGGGTTTATTGGGTCATTAATTACACATTTGTAAAGGAAGGGTAATTAAGTATAGGCTTTGTTTATTATGAATAAACAATGGTTTTCGTAATTGAAAATTGTTTATCTACTAATTACTGTTAAGCATTGTTACAAGATTAATCAGAACTTCTTCTTATGGACATGTTCTTACGAATATAAGGAAGGTTGCTTGTGTTTTTCAGCTACGTAGACTATCGGGTCAAAAAGTAACAGCCTAAAATGGTGGAAATGGCAAAAATACGCGAAGATTTCGACCGGCAAGTGCTAACAATTCGGCCGTCTTTCCAACGCTTCCCTAAAAAGTTACCTCAACTTTAAGGGGCGTAAAATTCCTTTACCGATTAACCTTTTTTCTTAAATCCTTGTCTATCTGCTTTCCAACGATACCAAACGAGGGGGTTGAAATCGCCAATTTTTTGGTCGTCGACTTGATCGCGCCCCCACAAGGTTAAACAGCACCCGATTTGGGCATTCTTTGGTAAATAACAGTCAAGTTCAGATTCAACTGGATTTGTTTGGCTCGTTATAATGTGTCTGGTATTAACCGTCAATGGCGAGCGCTACCGTGCAATGATGACCAATATTGGTTATTCGGTGAAATTGAAATTGAAAACTTGGATAATATTTATTTTCAGCGGGATATGAAGCAAGAAGCTACGATTTGAGGCTAAAATGTACTCAAAAATTGGGTGGATCGAATGGGCTATTGCCAAGTCAGCCGTGGTGGTCATTTGACCGAAATTATTTTCCATAAGTAAATTTCATAAACCAACCTTTTAGATAAATGTTCAACCGTTGCAAAATATTGAGCTTTTTTTATATCAAAATGAAATTCCAATTTTTAAATGGGCACCCGTAAAAGTTTTTGCTTATTCCCGTTTGTACCTTTCAAAATTTCTCTACCGTATTATTTATGTGTATGAAAACAAAGACCGTTCACTTATTAGTTATTCCGCCTGCTAGTCTCCGCTTTAGAGGAATGTGGGAATCTAATACAAAATCCACAACAACTCATTAACGAAAAAGATAGATAATGCTTATTTGAATTTTGAGAATCTGTATCCGGTGATGACACAAGCAGAAGTTATTTTAAACTAAGTCCCTTGAGTGAAGATCCTAACCACTTCATAGCACTCACTCCAATGCATTTTGTAATTGGGAAAGTATAATTATAAGTAATTTCAAATAAGATTACACATTAGCAACAATGACAGCAACCCATTCGGAATTTTTCTTTTTCTTTTGGAGACTTGTTAACATTTCAATAATTCAATGAGACAGCAATAATGAATTTGAACCGATTTTCAAAAATGAACTGATCTACGCAAAAAAAAAAAAAAAAAAAAAGATTGGCATACAGTATTCACTAGTATTTATCCCACCTGAATTGTCCAAATGGTGTAATAGGAACCACCAAAATATAGAGCTAGGTAATGTGTCCGAAAATAGAGAATCACACTTCCAAATTGAGGGAATAAAAATCTTTATAACAATATTCAGGGATACAAAAATTAGTAAATCGTGAAATACGTAACCCAAAATTTTCTAAACAAAGGAAAAGCTTACTTTATTTCTTAGTAAATCGAAGTAAGTTCAGTAATTTGTGCCTTGGAGACGCTTATGTGGGCAGTTTGAAAGGGCATTGTCTCAGAGATCAAAAGGATTATTTACTGGATGGACATTCTCTCGCTTCGCCTCAATAACAGGAAAGCGCATCTTCCAGTTTACGTTTTAAAAATCGTTCATTTTAACGTTTCAATATCCGCTGCAATAGAGAGCTATTTGTCACGGTAGGGTAAACAATTTATTTTTGATTACTTAAAAAAAATACAATATTGTTTCTCATTGAATGAAGGTAACACGTTTCGTATACAATTTGAGCAGAACATATTGGTTTTTTTATTTACACCACTCCCGTTTTGTTTGGTTTTCCTTTTCGATATTTTCGCCTATACCTACTCAAATCGACTAGTAAAGCAATACACTATTTGCACCTACCCCGCCGCAGGAGGGGATCGATATAATCTAGCAAAAAGGGTACCTAATTGTTGCACCTTTTTCGCGTTCATCCATTTGGGAAATTAAGTAATTTGCATTTGAACGGACAGGTAATTTGTGGCTTAATTTCAATTCGTTGCGCTGGCTGCCGGAATGGGACACGCAATTTCCGTTACATTTTATGTACCTCCATCGGATATAACGATTGAGTGTTTGAGCTTTCGCCCACCAACGCCCAAAATTAGCCCACCGCTCACGTGACAACTAAAAACAGTCGGAAAAGGAAATTTCCATGGGCTTTTAAAGTCAACGGATGACGCAACAAGTGCTGTCTTCGTGTTTGCTGTTGATGAACGCACTCTGTCACTTATCATCAAACGTAAAAATCACTTTTTCCTTATTTACGTGTTTTACAACCCCGATTGTACAGGCGGCATAGGTGCAGTGCAGTTAAAAACGAAAAGCTAATTAGTGTACTTCCATATTAGCCTTTCCATGCAAATTTGTAATCTGAGTAACCTAATTCGAACCTTTTCTACGCCCACTACTAAAATGATGCATAGTTTTCCATTATCGTTTTACCTAATATTGCTTTATCTCATTTTGGAAGTGAACACTTTTGCTACTTCATGCAAAATAAAAAGAATGAATATAGTAGACAGTAATAATAAAATAATCATAGAATACAAATTCGAGTCAATTCAAGTCTTGAATGAACCACCTGTTAAGACAATCAATGTTAAAACTTACTCCCTTCTAATTACCCAATTTTTTTTAAATTGCGTATCTGATTTAATCTAGGAGATATACGACTGTACCATCAATCGACACCTAGGAAATTAAATTGCGTTCGACAGAACCGAAAAACGCCACGTAAACACGCGTTGAGTTGAATGGTAGTAGCACGTTGACTTACGATATTCAAATAGGATCTAATAGTAATCGGTGCGCGTGCAGAGTACTTAACGACAATGCACTGTAACGTCAAACAGAGGTAACAATAAACGGTACTTACCCAATGGGTCGAATCACGAGAATGATGTTGAATTTAAGGGTGAAGTGCGATCTCTTTTAATCAATGACGCTGTTGCGCAACTACGTCACACCAGCGTCTCGACGCGCTCCCTACAATATCGGAAAATTTCATCGCGCACTTTAAAGGGATCGATATGCGCTTATTTCGTAGTGTTTTAATTATTCTTTTCTTATTCACTGTCGAAAAAATTAGCGTGAGGGGTCGCTACCTTCATTACAACAAATTTCTCGTCTGGAGTTAACTATTTTGGAATTGCGATAAAGAAACTGCACCACAAAAATTGAAGAGTTTGAGAAGTCCTCTTTCAAAATTGAATTGAATAAAAAAAACACCTATGTATTGTTAGGGAAGTGTGCGAGTGACAGGTCATAATATGCCTACAGGTAATGGGTGAACCCTACAATACGCTTTACTTGAAAGTTTCTTAGAGTTTTTATCAAAAGTGTGGGTTCGATATGACAGGTCTCTTTTTTTATGGTACGCCCATAAGATTTTACTTGCTATAAAATTGTTATATAAGCTTCTGCTGAATTACTCCAACTTATGCAATATTGATGAGATACAAAAATACATTACCTGTTTGCTTCACCAAAAGGCGCATTAAATTGCATTGGAGCACTCAAGTTTATATCTACCATTATATTATAATATTGCGTTTGAAATACTTAAAAAGTAGGCACGATTAAAATCCTAATTAACAATCGCTTTTGTGATAAACCGTGAGATGAAAGCCACTGCCAGCTAATTTAGATTACAGGGCAATGTTTTAGAATTTGAAGTAAAAGATTAGTGAATTTCGCATTAATTTGTCAGTTTAATAAATAATTCAGAGCAGAATGAGTATATAAAACCTCCAACAATCTGGAACATTTAGAATTCGTACAGTATGAGGTGCGAGGTACAAGGAGATGGAATCGAAACCTTATTAGATGCGTTACGTATGTATACACAGACAGGATTTACTACCAGAAATTTGTAAGAGGCGCGTAGTGATATTTTCTGTTTAGAATGTAAATTAAATGCTACATTCGTTACCACACTCAAAATTCCTACTTTGCCAAATGTCTAGTCCAATTTATGCAAAACCGTATGTTACCCCAAACACAAAAGAAAGAAGTTGGATTGGAAGGAAAAGATTTTGAAGGGCGGTGTAATTTTTAGAAAACTATATATGTCGCAATAGGTGACGCATTTCCCTTACGAAATATCATGGAAATCTTAGATCAATTAGGCAATTCAGATTATTTTCTATGTTCTCTGTTAACTGTTAAGTCACAAATTCTCTAGAAAGTGGATACTCGACCGACGCGACGGCTAGCTCTATATGAAGCTGTACTATGTTCAATTGAAGATATCTCCTGTACTCTGAAATTTGACTTCGATATTTGACTTTTTTATAGGTTTGTTTGCAAATTCAAACACAAAAATTACCACAACGTTTTAAATATACTAAAGAAAAGTCAAATGGTGAAATGATTCCAATTCGTTGCCTTTTACAGGTTTAATTAGCCAAAAACCCTAAAACTTGCAATCTATCAATCAATGCGGCCACCATTTCTGAAACTTATTTAAATTTGATATCGAATCTAACAACTAAACATGACAATTATTACAGACACATTATATTTAACATATAACATATAACATTAACATATAACATATACAATAATAAAAATGATAGTAAGAATGAATATGGAAATGAATTCAGAACGAAAAAATAGGTATGCCAGACTAAAATGGAGTGCCATTTTTGCGACTTCTTCTAAGACTCATATACTGCTTGCTCTCACAATAGCACATCCAATTTTTATTCGCAGCCAATTCCATCAACAGAAGTTGCCAATGGCGTGAAGGGCGCATGGCGTCGTTGACAAGCTTCTGGGTATTTCTTTTTCTTTTCATCTTCTGCATGTTTTGCCACCGATTCAAAACAGAGGAATTAATTTGATTGTGTCAACAATACGAATATCAAACAATGCCTTAACTTGTGGCTCCCAAGTCCATTTCAATCTGACCTGCTAACGATTTTATTTTTAAATGACACAAAGTTGATCCGCTCCACAAATTTCAGTTACCTCTTGTGCAGATGTAAAAATTTTGCGAGTATACGACGTAAACATTCACCAATTTCAATGGGACGAATTCCACGGCATCTATCAATTACAATCAGTCGATCTCTTTCATTAAGTTTCATAGCTAAAGCAGCTATTGAACAACGGAGGTTCTCATTTGATTTATCATGACGCAAAAAAATCTGTCCGTTGATCTGAACTGCTTCCTCCTGGACCTCCATTACCATGAAGTTTTCTTGCAACTTTTTCGACATGCTCATATGTAATTTCAAAGCATTGTAAATTTTGAATTTGCTTGTCTGGTAGGGCATCAAAAAACATGTAACCAAAATCGTTAGTTCATCATTAAAATTAAGAACTCTCTGTTAGTAAATTAGGAATGAAACCCAGATAACATTTTTTAATTCAGTTTTTTTTAAATTAATTTTAAAAACATTCGATACTTTTTCATAATATTTACCCCGGGTTGAAATTCCGTGAATTTCTAACCACTTTTTAATTAAGTCACTGGTACCTAATATCCCGAATTTTAAAAGTGAGCGTTTTACGTTTAGTAATTAGTATGAACACTCACAACCCGTACTTGTCCATTGTGGCCAGGATGAAGATGTGTAATTTTTCCAAGTAACCATTTAGAATTTAGATGATATAATGTTGTTTTCTTTAATTACAACCATTATCACCAATTTTAATGGAAATTTTTTATTCCATTTATTACGAAACTGTAACTCTGTTACATATTCAGTCGACCAACGACTCCAACATTGCTGGTTTAGCTTTTGCAAGGATTAAAATCTAGAAAGTCATGATATTTGTATGTCTTGTATATCTGGATCTGGTAGAGTCACTGCTGATTTTCCAATTAGGAAATGAGAAGGAGTTGTAAGTATCTAACTGATTTCCATCAAGGACTCTTTGTAAATGATTTGTTTAAAACTTTTGCTTCCCTAAATACCGCCAAAATTTGGTGAATAACAATTAACAAGGAATGAAACTCCATTGTCTGCATTCAATAACAATTTTCTCTTTTAATTGATAACTGATTTTGATTAATACATTGACCTAAGTTAGCTAGTTCCGTACGTGCTCCTACATTTTTCCATTATTACTGTAGATTCTTATTTACATTTATGATATTCATTATACCAGCACTAGATTCTTTATGTAAGATATCAATATTAAAAAGTGACTGGATGTTATTGTAAATTAATATTTTATTATCGTCAAACCTTTCACAAAGAGACTGCCAATTGCCAAACAATTGTATAATTTTTCGGGTAAAAATTCAATAATATCAGAAGCAGAACCTTCTAATGCGGCTCGCAAAAAATTTTGAATATAGGGTGGCAATTTGAAAACTTACCACCCCCCATGTCTTAGTAAATAAACGAGGTATTTTAAAAAATCAAAATCCGTTTCGGTAATTCGGAGGGGGAATCTCAATGACATAGTTGGCGACGCACCCCCTCCAACCCCCTGCGCCCCAGCCACCCCAACTTTTAAATCTTAAATAGTGACCCCCTATGTGTGATACGTCGTTGGAAAGCTCTGAAAAAATGCTTTCCAACCATACCAAATAGCATTACATTTAGGTTAGCAATTCTCGTGCAAAAAACTGAAATATAATATTAGATAGTAAGAGCTACACGAAAATGTGTCTCGGAAATTCCCGCAGGGTGGGGAGCGGGGGTATAAGAGGCTGGCCTTTTACTCTAATTACCTACTTTGCCACAAATCAACATTTCTAGATATACCTACCTAGGGATCTGTCAGTGTGACAATTTCAGCCATGAATTTGAGTTCGTTAGCAAACAGTTTGGACACCCTCGGATATTACGGTCAGGTTATCAGCACAGAAGAAACCATGGTACTAACCAACACACTGCTTTTCTTACAAAATGAAAATCACTTCCACAACGTCTTTTTTTGGGGACGAATCTTCGGCGCGGAAAAGGATTATTTCGTCGCTTTTGGTTATGTTAAAAACGCCTTGGAGGGTAAAATTTATTATTATAGCACTAACTGCATGGACTGGGGTCTACTACCTACGCCCACCGAGGAGGCAATATCCCTACTGCCGCTATGTACGACAAGGTTTCAGGGGAACCCTGCACTACTTATTGAAATTCTAATCGATAAGGACGATGATGTATTGAGTACGAAATCCAATAAACCTACAGTGCGTAAGCTTAAAGAGGAAGATCGTCTATCGGCCACGGTCCACGCCATCACTAATGAGGCAATGATTGTGCCACGTGGCGCCCTATTTAAGCGACCAGATGCTGTCGTTGTGGAAAATCAAAATTTTGAGGGGCTGTCTCAATTAGACTCTCAGGAGTTGGCGTGTTATTTACATTACCGTTCGCCTCAAAGAAAATGGAACACAAATTTGTTGGCCAGAATCGATTATAATTACGCCCTAGATTTTTTGGATACTATAGATGTTGATATACCTGAAGGTTGTTGGATTCTTCACGTTTGTGCTGCCGGCGCCGTAGTTATTATAAATTCGCTATACTGGCCGGGAATGGTATTCTACCACACTGTTCGCACTCCTAACTACGGAAGCGTGTATTTTGGAGATGGTAAAAGGAGTTTAGACTTGCCATTTATGTTAAATCCCGTGTAATTTTTACTGCGTTCGTTATTATTATTACATTGTTTAGACATCTCTGACTATTACCACTATTACTTTAAATTAATCTGTACCATCTCAGTAGCCTAAATTATAAGATACACTCGCATAAGACAACCTCATCCTCGATCAAATTTAACCTTCTTCTACTAATGTTTAGATAAAGTTGACCCTTCCCTTAAGCCTTTGAGAAACTATTAAGCAAGACTAAAATCTTTAGTCATCATAGAAGATCCTACCTTATACTGGCCTTCTGGGGCGTTAAAGTAAATTTGGATATAAACTGCAGAAATAAAAAAACCTAATTTGCGGAGGAGGTGATCAATAGATACAGACCTTTTTCGGTAATATTTTACTGTGGTATCTTTAGCCTTATTACTTTGGTCTCTTCTGCGAATATCAAGCATGCGTTTTGCAATCTTTGAATCCTCTGTACCATATCTACAGTTAACCAAGCTCCATACAAAGGGGCAAAGCATTCCTTAGAATAATAATAATAACATTGCCATTAATTATCCCAAACACAAAAGTACAGAAATAAAATAACACACTACAAGGCGAAGTTCAGTTCGGCGGAGACTACGGCCGTCTGTTACGTTTATGTACAAACAATGTGGAAATAACCAAGGGGCTAAAGTGTGTTTTAATCACGAGGGTGCAGGTGCAGGGATTAGGTTTAGGACGCACTTTCTAGTCCTGTGGCATATACGCTGTTTTTTGTACTCCAGTAAATAATCAGCTCAGCAATTTCAATATTAAAGTCCACATTTGGAGGAAAAAAAATGGAGTATTTCATTGTAGGATCAAAATACCTTGTCATGTCAAAAAAAAATTGCAATTGTGACCGTATATTAATAAATGTGTTTAATTTAAAGATTCTCCTTCAAAACTATCAGGAAATTACTGCCTCCCAAATTCCAAAAGATATATAGAAAACTGTGTAACTATAAAATATGGTGCAATAACCAAAATGTACATAATTATACGGCATACATATGTATTTTACTGGAACTTAGACATTTGGGAATATTACTAGTGTAAAGACACAAGAGCAATGGGCAGAGAACTGATCCTTGTGGTACACTAGCTCTAATGACTACTCGAGAATGCGATAAGATAGTTCTTAAGACTTACTTTTTGATGCATATTAGACAAATGGTTTTAAATCATTCTACAGGCCGAATAAGATACCTACTCCACCCGATTTCAAAATAGCCAATAGTTATTTGTGATGAACGGTATCAAAAGCTTCGCTAAACTCTAGGTCAAGATGGTGTGTTGTTTATTGTCACAAGCTTTTAATCGGTCGTCTGTAACGTGCAAAAGGGCAGTTGTACAGCTATGTAATAGACGAAAACCAGATGTCTTACTTCACTTACTAAACGAGAAAATGTTGAAAACTCTCAGAAATGATTATAAATACAATAGTTTTTATAACTCAAATTTAATAGATGGTAGATAGTTTGAAGAAGACTTTTACATAATTAAAAATTAATTTAAAATTCTCTATTATTAACTTATGTATTTTATAAAAAATGAAAACTAAAACTGAAAAACATTAAAATACATCCTGGTTCATAAGTTAATAATTGTAGTAAAAGCTAACCACAGAAATGGGGAACTTCACTCTTCTGTTTCTTTTTCGCATCATAATTTGAGAAAAACTCGTGTATATCTTCTTCACGTACCACCTTTTTATTTTCGGCAAATTTCTTCAAATACTCAATCAGGTGTTGCTTCATATCGTTGTATCCAGCAAGTGCTTCCATTAATGGTACTCTGCTTAGCGAGTTCAAAAATTTCATGCCGTTTTCCTGTTGTTTTTCCTCAAACTCGCGAGCTTTGGCTTTACCTTTCTCTTCGTACACGTGAACTGTGTCTTGTGGATCTAATAGGAACATTACCTTCTCCTCCTCGTATATTTGGATACATTCGGGACAGGTGCAGAGCTGCTTGCGCCATTCTATGTCGGTCCAAAACTTGGTGGTTACCAACCCAGACTTATCTTTAGGTTTGGTACAAGTCTCTTTATCAGTTTTCTCATCAGTTTGGGCGACATCCACTTCATTATCATCTTTTTCATCCTCTTTACTCTCTGCTTCTGCATTTGGATCCGCTGCTTTCACACACAGTGCACCGTAGTACAACAAAAACGGATGCTGTTTAATGCAAGACTCACAGCACATTTCCGCATAAGAAACATTGCGAGGAAATTCGACACCCAAATGACGCGTATGATACCAATCTTCGCACAGGATGCACTGGATCATCTCGTCTTCTACAGAATCCTCGGGATCAGGATACGGTCGATTACAGCTACAGTACGTGCCGCAGAAATTCTGGTTGTACTCGTTAAATTCGTTGGCATCAGTTTTGGTCGTTTCTAATTTACAGGATTTATTGGCAAATTTGGTATTACCGCAGTCGCAGCGAAAGTTTCGCTTGGTGTACAACTCGACGAGCTCGTGGCCCTCGTGACAATGAAAGCAGCAACCAAGGCAAACACCGGCTGCCTTCGTGATATCAGATTTGGCTTCAGGAATGCAGGTCAAGCAGGAGTACAAGGCTTGTCTTTTCATGTAACCCTAAATGCAAAGTGTAGGTATAGTGTTATCGTAAGATACCTAAGTAATTACCTCAGAATAAGTGCACTTTTTATCATCAATTGCTCCTAGAACAGCATTGACATCATCAATCATTTCTTGTTCACTCTGTAAAACTTCACCAAGGGTAACTATACTCTGCTCAGGATCTTCCACAGTTTCATTGAGGGTGGTATTATTTTCTTCTGACATTTTGAGTAGCACAACTATAAACTATTTAATAATTTAACTACTTTAATTAATTGTAAATACAACTTGTAATTTAGAGAATTTTTACAAGTGAGTTGACAGGTAGAAATAAAATGGCGTATTTAATATTTAACCGCGAAAATTGAGTGACTTTTTGTGCTGTAAACGCCGTCTTAAACTTGATTTACACAGGCCAAATGTTGTTTAAAAGGGGCTTGTCTGCTGTATACAGGGTGCTTTTTTTGCTTCCTTGGAAATCAGTTTTCAGATAGGTACATACATTCATTGATTACACACAACAATCAACAATCAATGGTACATTTAACGTAGAGAGCCCAGAACATATTTAACGACCATAAATAATTGGAACCCTCATCCACTTTTAGTTTACATAAGTAACATGGCCAAAGGCCGAACCTCTGGGTCTAAGAAGTTTGTTTCAATAGCTAGTGACTCTTTTGGCTCTAACAACTGCTGGACGTTTACAAACCATATCTTTGTAATAAGACTTTGATCGGTGAAAGCTCACAAAAAATCCAAATTTGTATCTGGGACCGCATTTTAAGACTAATTAATCAACGAAAAGCCATCATTATGTGTGCTATACATCCAAGTTATTATACTAGCAACATAAGGAAAGTCGACCAGGATTTTCTCTGTATAAAAACCAAAGCCCCACATAAATTAGCGAGCAAACAAACTCTGAGTAGGTGGGTAAAGGAGCTTCTAAAGAAAGCAGACATCAATGTTTCAAGCGTCACTCCACTTCTTCGGCAGCACGAAGACAGGGATGGTCCCTCACTCATCCACCCTCCCCGTTAGAAAACTGTGCCCTCAGATGTCAGATCTCTTCGCAACGACTAACATTAATTTAATTTTAAAGAATATAACACAACGCGGGATTAGCTACCAGAAGGATGGTTACGCGGGGGGTATTAGTAGCCGCGTTGTTAGAGGCCATATCCAGGCAAAAGTGCTTCATTTTTAAATTTGGCACAACAGAATTTGTGATAAGTACTTAATTACACTTTATTACCATTATTATCTTGCTTTAAATATAATTTTTAAGAGTGTCATGAGCAATAAACAAAAGGGTTGCCCATATGCGGACCACTTCCTCTACGCTACTGATTTGTGATAGTACCAATGTGTTATTAACGAGCTGACTTCTAATAAACTAAAGGTGGGAAATGCCATTGACGATCTATTTAAAGAAACAATCTCCGTATAATAATAAAAATATCGATTTTCGATAAAAAGCTAAAAATTACAATACCGCAATTTAAAAATGGCGCTACTGTCGCAAAGTGATGTGTAAATTTCAAGATGGCGCTTGCGTCCAAAATCAGTACAAAAGACAGCGAAGTCGTATTGCAACGTAATTCGATGTTGTGAAATATTTTTCGAGTTTCTCCCCGTTTTCTTTTCTCCAAATTGTGAATATTAGATTTTCAGTTGTGTATGACTTCGTACAAACATGTAATTAATCGATAAAGGTGAGTGCAATTATTAACAAAAACACGAATCCGATTTCCATTATTTTTACGTACTCGTGCATTGTAATGGTCATTGTGATTGATACATCAAAAAGTGAAGGTATTTATCTAATTTCTTTTGTTGGCTTTTATAACAATTTGGTTTGTTTAAAACGAAATCGCGCGTGTATCATGTTCAAGTAATTTAATATCTATATTGATCTTTGCAAGTACCTACGTGTGGCCGATGTTGAGAACTATATTTGAATACAAAAAAAATCGCAATTGCAGGAAATCAACGAGCTCGAGCCCCGCGCATTTGTCGTCAACAACAAAAAGGTCATCCTTAAGGTAAGGAAATGATTTTTTTTACAATTTACGGTAGTACCTTTCTAAAATAAAAAAAAAAAGTAGTTTTAGGCAATTAAACGCGAACTCGTTTGTGTAATTGCCTTGATGATTGCGTACCGTTATTTATTATACACTGACTGACATTTGAGAATTGTCATAAAAATAGACAATAGTGCAATTAGCAACTTTTATATAGGCAAACAGAAATGATTTCCTATCACTCCTGCCTTAATTTGTTTTGCTCGAGACTAATGACCTCAAAGAAGTAGCGTTACAAACTTGACCTCATAATATTTGTGCACTTTTAGTGCAAAAAAAAACTGCCATGTGTTTCGCAATTACAAAGTAAATTTTATTAGACAAACGCTTTCACTATTTGTACTTTTTTCAGTCGTTTTCACTGGCTCATTATTAAAGGTTTGCGCACGTAATTTATTCACTTTCAAAAAGGAAACCGAAGATTAGATTAAAAATTTGTAAATATTTGCCATGTTATTGCGAGCAGTGTTGCCAAAGGTATCCAATCAGCTGATTATTTATGGCTATTGTTTGAAACTTCTAAAAATAAATGCCAATGTTTTGCAAGTGGTTCCTTTGTTTCCCTTTTCTATTTTAGTATATGTCCTTTTCATTTGAACTCCATTGTAACTGCCCTCTCCGAAGTACTGTTCACAAACTTTTCAAAAGGTCAGCTACCCTGCTACCCAGTCGGAGCCATACATACTTGACCTTACATTGTTAGGACCAAATGTACGAATACTAGCTGCACAGTAGCCGATAACCCACAATATTTTCCCACTTTTTGATTTGACTTTTAAATTTCCAAAACTTTGAATGCAGATCAAGCTCTGTACCTTTTAATAGTTGAGATACTGCTGTCTGAACATTGGCAATTTAAGGTTCCTATGGGATAAATATTAGTTACGAGTTGTACATAATTGGTAAGTAATCAGCAATTTAAATACCTAAAGTAACTTACTTGTTACTCAGTAAGTAGTTGTTACTCAGCAGTTTTTTGCAGTACAGTGTAAGTACAAATTATCAGGCCAAGGGGTGAAGTATGGTGATGAAGACCATGAAGTTATAGAATTAACCTTTTGCTCCTGGCATATGGTGTCATACACTGATAGTTTGTTTGGTACCTCACACTGTAGGGAACGTCAGTACATTGGGAGAAGTAGTGAGTAGCAGTATAGAGTGTATTCCAATACATATTCCCAACTTTTACGGTATCCAAAATCCTCGTGCTGTTCATTTTTATCTTAGACGCGTAGTATATCTGTTCCCCCTCCTCTTAGGCCCTTTAGGTTGAGGAACAGGCGGTCTGAATTCAGCCACTGCTCCATGTGTTTTTCAAGCCTCCGCCTCGACTGGTAAGTGTAAAAGCTGTATTCGCAGAGGTACTTCCACGACCAAAGTTGGCATGATTTTCATGGCTCCTCCAGACAGGCGAGTCTGTAACTTACTTAGCTGCTTCCTGTAGGTTGCCCTTCGCATGGCAGGCCACCATACAAGTGTACTGTACAATATTATTGCACTGACCACTGCAGTGGCAAGCCAATATACTAGTCTAGGGGTCAAGCACCATGTACATGCTATTTGCGCAATGTGCCCCCTTCAGGTCAAATAGTTCACTGACACTGTTGGCTTCCTCTTTCTCTGTTCTATTCGTGAATGAAATAACCTTGGTCTTTTCTTTGTTAATGGAACAGTAGAAATTTGATTGCCGTGTATAGGGTGAAAATGTTGTCTGGAACACTGGATATACCTTCAACAATATTTTTTAAAAGATGCTTTTGTTTGCTTACGATCTACATACTTTAAATTTGTGATCAGTGCTGCATACTTCCCCATGGTCAAGGGGGAAGAATTTTTTAATGCACTACCTACTAGTTTTCATTACATATTATTATAGAGTACACTTTTTTTTGGATATAGCAGCATAAGTGAGTGCACTTTAAGAATAAATAGTGGTTGTCTCCCTTGACTGTGCAGAAGTACGCCACTGACCACAATTTTAAAGTACGTAGATTGTTTGAAAATTTTTATAATTTTGGATACCATAAAAATATATGTATTTCAGTGTATCAGACAATTTCCACCCTGTATGTTCACTTATACCTACTCTTATACAGGGTGTTCAGCAAGGAATGCGACAGCGCGACATCTCAGAAACGAATGCAGATTTTAAAATTCTTAAAACTTTGTTGTAAATGTAATCTAGGGCCACACAGGGTCTAGATACCGATAGGGATTTCAATGGTAATTTCGTTATATTGAAATATTTTCTGCCCTAATTATTTTACAGCAAAGTTGTAAATACATTATTTGTAGATTGTAAAATTCTGCGTCTATTCATGTCATTTGTAATTTTTGTTGTGGGAAATTGGAGAAATTAAGGAAATTATAAATTAGAAGTATAATAATAAATCAAATTTTTGTTTCAATAATTTCATTTTTTTCCGGTTTTCCGAATTGAAAAATAATAAATGAGGACATGAGCAGACGTAGAAGTTTTCAAGCTCTTATTTACAATTTTACTCTTAATTAATTAGGGACAAAATATTTCGAAATTAGCATTGAAATCCCTATGGTGCGTAAACTGTTTCTACACCCTGTATATTTTATGATGAAAAGTTTTTTAATTAAATTGGTCATCGCCAAGTGGGGCTACCTAATTTATTTATTTTACTTGGAATATCCTACTTTATTCGATTTTTGGAATCTACAACATATTTGTGTGACTTTCAGTATTTTACGCAGACTTCAAGGGAATTTTGCAGATTTAATATGATACAAGAATCATAAATAGTTACGTAGGGCCTTAGGTAGTGCCGCCCCCTTCGAACTATTAGAGATACAGAACTCATATTGCGTTCAAATTTAGTCAGTTGTAATCAGTACAGCATTTACGCTAAAAAATAATGGATACCTATGCAATATAATTAGAAAATTGCAAATAACAATAATCGTTTTGTGTTCTATGTAGATGGCGGATCCCGATCCTGAAACTTTATTGGAGTGGCTGAGTAGTGGCCTAGGCGATGAGAGGGACATGCAGCTTATCGCTCTGGAACAACTCTGCATGCTTCTACTGATGTCTGACAATGTAGACCGATGCTTTGAAAGGTTTGTATTAATTTCATTTTGAACTGCTCTTCATTTTTTACTGCAGCTGCCCTCCGAGAACCTTTCTTCCTGCGTTATGTCGGATATTCCTCGACGAGCATGCGCCTGAAAACGTTCTAGAAGTTACGGCGCGTGCAATTACCTATTATTTAGATGTGTCGGCGGAGTGTACGCGACGCATCATGGCGATGGATGGTGCGATTAGGGCGATTTGTAATAGATTAGTAGTTGCTGAACTCTCATCACGGACCAGTAAAGATTTAGCCGAACAATGTGTAAAGGTGCTCGAGCTCATCTGCACGCGCGAAGCGGGGGCCGTTTTCGATTCGGGCGGTCTCAGCTGCATATTACCATTTATTAGAGACAATGGAAATCGTGTACACAAGGATACGCTGCACTCGGCGATGGCCGTTGTGTCTCGTTTGTGCACAAAAATGGAACCGGCCGATACTCAACTACCAACCTGCGTGCAAGCACTTAGCACTCTTTTACGCCACGAAGACCAACACGTAGCCGACGGCGCGTTGCGCTGTTTTGCGTCAATTGCAGATCGATTCACAAGGCGAGGTGTCGACCCCGCTCCATTAGCCCAACACGGTACAGTTAAACCCCTTCTCCCGAGACATTTTTATTAAATTTGTGTGTGTAGGGCTAGTCTCAGAGCTTTTAACCCGCCTGTCCAACGCGGCCGGTCCAGCTCTTGCTAGTGGTACTCAAAGTACGCCAGGGAAAGCAACCTCTACCACCAACACCTCAACAAATCAACCTGACCCGAAAGCGACCGCTGCCTCGGTGTCAACAATCATAAGCTTACTGTCAACACTTTGTCGTGGCTCACCGTCGATAACACACGTAATTTACTGTCCTCGATGACATCTAATTTTTTTCAAGTTTTTGAAAATTAATATCCTCAAAGACTAAAAAAAATTAGATGCATCCTTTTTGTTTAGAACAACTGAATGTGTCTTTGTTTCTAGGACCTACTTAGATCAGATCTTCCCGAGGCAATAGAAAAGGCGTTGAAGGGGGATGAAAGGTGCATTCTCGATTCCATGCGTTTAGTCGACTTGCTTCTAGTGTTATTGTTCGAGGGTCGGAGAGCTCTGGGTAAAACCGGAGGTGCCGGCTCTTCGGGAACATTCGTGCCTCGAATTCGAAGGATGGATTCCGCCGCGGAAAAGTCTCACAGGCAGTTGATTGATTGTATACGGTCGAAAGATACGGACGCGTTGATCGAAGCAATTGAGACCGGTGGCGTTGAGGTAATTAAAAATAATTGTGACAAAAATGGTAGTATTCGCTTGCATTTTATTTTTACTGATCGTTTATTGACTTAGGAGTGGGTGAGGTGCTTCCTACTCTTGTATGTCTAAAAGAGGCATACGTACCTTACTTGAGATGTGGGTGGGAAAATTAATGCATTTTTTACATCTAAAATTATTGACTAACAAATTGTACAGACGCAAAACAAAACAAAAACTTCCATCCATACTATTCCAAAAAATTTTGAGTTTTTTGTTTCACCTTAGGCACGTGCTGTAGGTCTCTGGATAGGTATGTGGCCATTTTTTATTAACTGTAATTGTTCTTTTTAACCATCTGTCGTAACAGTTTTGAAAAGCTTTGTCTGCTACAGCTGTAATCAACTTCTGTAGATGCAAGTTTTTAATTACGCTTGCAAATCGTGAGTGTGTCATAAAAAATCACGCCTATTCCCATTATCCCTCGAGCAAACTTCGACCCCCAGCTTTGGAGGCAACGTGAACGGCAAAGGTAACGACAAAATGCAATTCCCTCTCGCCATTCTTCAGTTACAGCGTTCAAGCTTGACCACCACGCGGAGGCAACGTCGGGGGGGGGGGGGGGGTGCGCTCCCGTCACACAGCGCATTCAAAGCATCTTGCCGTTGTCGCCGTCCAGAATCGCCAATTTCTATTTTTCCCTACATAAAATTCGTTTAACTATGGAACTAATCTCGAGCAATGTTAAGTTTTTTTTGTGTCATCCCTGGTCGATTGCTACGAATTTTTAAACTTCCCACTTCATTCAAAAAAGATTTCCATGCACACCCTGCCCTTGCTTTCCGAGGCGATTTCACTGGACTAAAAAAAATTTGAACAGTTCGTACCCTTACGGCTACGGACACCCACAGTGCCTGGCCCACTTGTTGAATATCTTCCTCCATGTCTACAAATACGTTTTTTTACATTCCTTATGGCAGCATGCTAAAAAGGTAATAAAAACTCCTCTTCTATTGTTTTTTTTGCACATGTTATTGATTACCCTCCTCAGCCACTGTGCCATCATCGTAAGTCTTCCCGTTTCTCCTTCAGCTATGTCTCTATGTTGAAAAACACGAATATGGATCGAATCTCTGTGGAGGGGGGGGGGGGGCACTAGAGCAATGTCCTTCGTTTTCACATATTTTCATCTACTATTTGTGAGTATTGTTGCTGCAAATTAAAAAAAGTTGGATTATCATTTGTACACACACATACAAATTATTAAACAATAATTTTTAGCTTCCTAGCATGTGCTAGGTAGCTATTGCGATAGCCGTTTTTTGAACATTTCAAAATTTCATCAAATGTCGACGTTTTAGACCATTTTAAGCAACTTTTAAAGAATAAAATTTTTTTCCGTCTGTATGTACGTACGTACGTACGTACGTTTGTTGGCAATTTTCTGAGAAAACGGCTCGACGGATTTTGTTGAAATTTTGTATATATGTTTTAGGCATACCGAACAGAAAAATAACGGGCCGGATTTTTGAAAAAAAATTTTGGAGCGCCGTAACGGCATCGAACTTTTTTTTTCAAATAGCAACCTAAAATTTTTATTCTATTATTTGGAAGACCTTATTTTCCTGTGTACAACCTACAAAAAATTGGGCCGGGTTATATTATCAAAAAACGGAGAAAAAAATTGTCAAAGTCAAAAAATTGTGTTGCATATGTGCAAAACGCAACGATCTTGTTTCTGAAGCAATTTAAACGAAATTTCTATGGTAAGTCCTTTTAATAAAAGCAAACAAAATTCATGCGCAAAAATCGTGTTGCGCATGCGCAGAAATGCAATTTTCTTATTTATGGAACAATTAAAACGAAATTTGGATGGTAGGTCCTCCTAATAAAAGAAAACAAAATGCATGCGCAAAAAATCGAGTTGCGCATGTGCAACATCCAACTTTCTTATTTATGGAGCAATTTTAACGAAAATTGGATGGTAGGTCCCTCTAATAAAAGCAAACAAAATGCATGCGCAAAAATCGTGTTGCGCATGCGCAGAAATGCAACTCTTATTTATGGAACAATTTTAACGAAATTTAGATGGTAGGTCCTTTTAATAAAAGCTAACAAAATGCATGCGCAAAAAATAGTGTTGCGCATGTGCAACATCCAACTTTCTTATTTATGGAGCAATTTTAACGAAATTTGGATGGTAGGTCCCTCTAATAAAAGCAAACAAAATGCATGCGTAAAAAATGCACCTTTCTTATTTTTTCCGTCTGTATGTACGTACGTACGTTTGTTGGCAATTTTCTGAGAAAACGGCTCGACGGATTTTGTTCAAATTTCGGATATGTATATTAGGCATACCGAACAGAAAAATAACGGGCTGGATTTTTGAAAAAAAAATTTTTCCCGTCTGTAAGTGCGTACATATGTTGGCAATTTTTGGTTTCAGCTAGGAAGCTATTCTGTCAAGAATTTGACACCTGGTTTTTTTGTGTTCAGAGATGGAAATTGATTGTTTGGTTATATGATGATGAGGTTGAAATATTTGAACCTCGGTCATTTACTTTAACATTTTTTATAGGTAAATTTCATGGACGATGTCGGACAAACCTTACTGAACTGGGCCTCTGCGTTTGGGACGCAAGAGATGGTCGAGTATCTTTGTGAAAAGGGCGCCGACGTTAATAAAGGCCAACGAAGTTCGTCCCTACACTACGCCGCCTGTTTCGGACGGCCGGCTATCGCGAAAGTACTTCTACGTCACGGCGCCAACCCCGATCTCAGAGACGAAGACGGCAAAACCCCTTTGGATAAGGCTAGAGAGCGCATTGACGAAGGTAATGATGTTTGTTTTTTAATTGCGCGTCGTTTGACATGTACTTGCTCAGGCCATCGTGAGGTAGCTGCAATCCTTCAGTCGCCGGGCGAATGGATGATACCTTTGGATAAGGAAAGGCAAAGAAAATCGGAATCTGACAGTGAAGAACAAGTCGAGCCGCGTGGTGATCCTGAAATGGCTCCACTTTATCTTCGTCAGCTACTGCCTGTGTTTTGTGCTACTTTTCAATCGACTATGCTCGCATCTGTAAGGAAAGCGAGTTTAGGGTTAATAAAGAAGATGGTGCATTACATTCAACCTAGTCTGCTGGAGGAATTGTGCACATCCGAGGTGTCCAATAACTTTGGTACACAATTAGTGGAAGTGATTGCAACCGTTTTAGACAATGAGGTTTGTATTCATCTTTTTCCAAATATATAGTATCAATTGTTTGTTGTCATAATTAAAAATGTTATATTCACAGTTATGTTGATCAGATATGTGTGGCTTTTATCCGATACTACAATTTTGCAGATCGGTTACTGCTGGCCAAGTACACGCAGCTACACCATAGTGACCCCGCTCGCTGTACTCTTGCGCAATACTTTGCATGGCAGGCACATAATTCAATGTCCTCCACCTATGGTTAGTTTGTTTTGGTCCCCTATTGGTTTTAATACTTACCTCGTGTGTTGTTGCTAATTTGCTTAGTTTAGTTGAAATTTTGTAACTTATGTGCCTGCTTGCAATTGCTTTTTTAGTTTTCTTAGTAGTTTTTTCTAACGGATCATCTCTACCTAACTAATCCATTAACAAGTGTGTTGGTGTATACATCTACCAAATCAAGTCATTAACTTGCCTTTGATTAATAGGAGGATGAGGATGGCCACCTAATCGTGTTATCTATCATACAAGATCTGATGATAAAAGCGCAAGATATATTTTTGGACCACTTCGCCAGATTGGGAGTTTTTTCAAAGGTGCAAGCCTTAGCAGGACCACCAGATGTCATTGTGGAACCAGAAGAAAACGATCAAAATATCACAGAACAAGGTAACTTTCGAAATACCAACTACAATTTTACCGTAATTTCTTGTAGCTGAGGTGACCGACGTGATCGAAGACGCAAAAGAAATTTTACCCGGCAAAGCGTATCACTGGAGGGATTGGTGTTTGTGTCGTGGCAGGGACTGTTTGTATATATGGTCGGATGCGGCAGCCTTAGAGTTGTCAAACGGATCAAACGGTTGGTTTCGCTTTATACTGGATGGGAAATTGGCTACTATGTATTCAAGTGGTTCACCAGAAGGTGGCGCTGATACTTCAGGTATGTGTTAATTACTTTAATTATTGCATGCCTTGCCAATTTGTAGTAGTTTTTGTGTGCTCATCTGTTAAAGACCCCAGACTCCACAAATTCTGTGGTGAGTTCTCCCTAACCTCTTCCCTTCAATGTTGTCTACTCATGCATGCAGATTCCCTTTTGAGATACCATGAATCGACTGCGTTGTCACGATCTCTGTGATTATGCAATCGACTATTTGAGTACAACGGAACTCTTTCTATTTTCTATGACGCTAAAGTCATTATCTTTTGTGTCGATAGGCAAAAGCCGGGCTTCTGATTCCTTAACTACGGAAGGTAAGAATTGATTAATTTGCATTTTAGTACCTTAGTTTGTAGCTGCGTAATTGAATTACTGTACATTAAACGTTACCAATGTCTAGAAAACAGAGGAGAATTTTTGGAAAAGTTACAACGTGCCCGCGCGGTTGTTAAAAATACCACAACGTCCCAACCCATCCTGTCCAAACCTGGACCGACGCGACTTGTTGTGGGAAATTGGTCGTTGACGTCGCGCAAAGATGCCGAGCTTCATATTCACAATTCAGATGGTCAGCAGCAGGCGACGATATTGCGTGAAGAGCTTGCTGGGTTTATTTTTGAGTCAAATCGCGGTACCAAGCATTCATTTACAGCTGAGACGAGCTTAGGTAAGTTGAATGATCTAAATTGTGGCGATCTTTGGCATACTACAGATGTAGCTGCAACACATCAGTATTCATAGGTGGTAGGCAATATATCGCTAAGTGGGTAGAGTCAATAATTAAATTAAATATTAATTTAATTTATTTACTTTAAGTAGTTAAAGCCCGTTATCACCTCCCCCTTTTTTTTTCACGTCACAGTGCTGTTTTGTGATTGGCTGCGCAATTTTGTGACAGTAAGTTTGAATTTTTGGATTAACGGCTGTACTCAACGGTTAACAGCTGCGTCGGCTGAACGTACCGCCGTAATAGTAAGGGAGCTAGCACGAAATCCACTGAACGAGAATGATCAAAATTTTAACCGATGGAGTTCCATTTTGCCCTATCAGAGTATGCTAAAATCGATCGTCTGCCGCCTCAGGTCATACGACTTAAGGCGCTGCGGGTACTTCTTGCGGTACCAATTCTGAAAGGTTGTTTTTCGAGAAAATAAGTTATACACCAAATGAAAACGTTGATAATAGCTCTTAAAAAAATAGTTAAAAAAATCGCGCACATTAACTCCGTAAAAAAACAATTCTTAGTCGGTTTTTCACGAACTTTCTACGAATATAACTAGGTTACCGTTGGAAGAATGAAGCTGATTTTTTTTACAGACCAATGATAGGTACAGCCAATGACTATGAGAGTGTTTCTTTTTTAAATTTTTTCTCTAATTATTAGATATCTTATAATGTTAAGCTAATAAGATAATCTTGTAATTAGAGACAAAATTTAAAAACGAAACACCGTTAAGTCATTAGTAGTGCTTATCATGAGTCTGTAAAAAAAATCAGCTTCATTCGTCCCACCCTAACCTAGTTATATCCGTAGAAAGTTCGTGAAAAACCGACTAAGAATTGTTTTTTTACGGAGTTATCAAATGCGCGGGATTTTTTTAAATATTTTTTTAAGAGCTATTATCAATGTTTTCATTTGGTATATAACTTATTTGTTCGAAAAACAACCTTTCAGAATTGGTACCACAAGAAGTACCCGCAGCGCCTTAAGTCGTATGACCTGAGGCGGCAGACGATCGATTTTAGCATACTCTGATAGGGCAAAATGGAACTCCATCGGTTAAAATTTTGATCATTCTCGTTCAGTGGATTTCGTGTTAGCTCCCCTACTATACCAAAAGGCTAAAGGTAAGGTGCATTACATATATAAAAAAAAGAAAAAAAAAGATTGTATTAGAATTATAGTAGAAAAATTATTTTAAAAAAAATTTAACTGATGTACTATCTTCCCTCCTCCCCTAGCGATGCTTTCGACCTCTGGTGGGAGCCAGGAACCGCCACACGAGACAAAAGTTCGTCGACATATTTCTGGATCTCTGAGGGCCCCAGTCGTAATCTCGACGCTTCTTCGAGGTCAATAACACCGGATCGAGCCCCCTTCCGCGCAACACTGGGTCTCGCGCGGAGCTAATAAGAGGGGCGGCCCTATCCAACCACTCCAAGATCCACTGGTCTTCGCATTCGGCCACAATGGCACCCTTCGGATTCCAACCGAACCCTGCCAACGAGGAAAGGGGCCATCCCCTCCATCGACAACTGCATTTAATGAAGCCATAATGCACCTCGACTGAAGCTCGGCGATTAGTTGGCCATTGGATCGTGGTCCAGAACTTCTAGGCTTCTTCTCAAGCAGCCCTGAGCCAGACCTTGGAGTGCTTCCCTTCGATATGAGACGCTTGGTCCCTGACCCAGGTGTAATAAATTAACCGTTGAACTTTTGGCTTTAATCAAATAAAACTTTGACATACTAATCAAAGCTGTCTACAGTAGTATAAAGTTAACTACCTATTTAATATTACCACAGTCAGGTTGTCCCCCTGGCCAGACACCCAGACACAGCCTTAGGCTTTGGCGCAGAGTTCGCTTGTATTATCGAGCCGGCGCTTACTGGCAATCCCCTTCTATGCGCCAGTCCTATTCTTCTTGTCCCTAAGGAAAGGGGGCCACCACTCAGATGTCGCCCGGTATCCGAGGGGCACCGTTCTCGACACTGCACCTCAGTGCCATGCAGTCCTCGACACGGTTGCTAACACCTTGACTTGGGAGATTGGTCCGCGCCGACGATCTTCATCGCTACCAGTCTGGGTTTTAGCACCGACCAGTCACTTGTAATCGTCACTACCCACACCGAAACACGAGTCACTTTACGATCATTCAGGTGTATGTATGGGCCTCCCCCTATCCGCGATTCGGGGAATGGAGTATGAGAGGAAAAAACTGTTTTTGATTTGTGGAATCGTAGAAAAATGGAAACTGCTTCCTGTTGAACTACGGATAACGTTTAATAAATTGTTGAATGAACTTATTGTTGAGTTCAAACTCTTAATTTGGCTGTTAGGCTATTATAGCATATTACACCATGCTGAGGCAGAAAGTATTGGTGCTGTCACCTTGGCCATGTAGCCCTTTCAATATACTGTTGGTACAGGAATTGAAAAAAATCCGCTCCACAGTTTCAAATCCTATCGCAGAAGACATTCAGATGAACCGTATGTCAAGAAATGTTTTCAGAGATTAAGAGTTCTGGCCGCGATGACGCCGAGATTATCTTCATATCTCTGCAACAAAAGGGTACTTGCATATCTCTTGAAAATGGTGCATTGGTTACGATCAAGGATGATGGCGTACCAGTTGGACACTGGCCAATGGGAAGAGTAGTGGAAACTTATGCTGGAAAGGACACTATTGTGAGAGTGAGTGGTTTCCATTAAAACTAATAACCAAGTGGTCGAACGGGATTACGCAATGTGTGCGTTTTTCCTGTGGAGCAATAATGTTATCTATGTTCCGAGTTAAAACTCCTTTTAAAGGAGGGAGTATGTTGGGGTGGGTATTTTTATCAGTTTACTTATGTCATGTCATATTAATAAAAATCCAATGAAATTGTCACAATAAAATAATGCTACTAGAATGTTTAACACGGGGAACTCTCCGACAACCAGGGATATTCCAATAATTATAACAGTTACTTATTATTTATCACTATCACAATTTATAACAAGTACATTAATAACGCGAATCTCTTCGGCATCGATGTTGGAACTGAAACTAAACACAATTCAATTTGCTTATATACCAAACAAAGAGCTTCTAGAGAAACCTCGAATCAGAATCTCATATTTTATGGAAAGAATGAGCCACATTCGCTTTCATTCCTTATCGCTGGTGAGTAATCCTTTATCAAGTTGATGGTGACTTGATATCGCTCTAGAAAATTAAATTGAATTACACCATATATGGAAGTATAATTCGTGAAATTGGTTTCCTTTGGTATGCTTATGCAGAATCGTTGTAAAATGAGAATGCATGCAACAGAAAATATGTTCTAAAGGTCTAAACTATAAAATATTGATGACATCGCTTATATTTCGTGAAACGTGGCAGCTGTCAAAACCTTCCTCAGAATTCGCGTCCGGTAAGCCTTTGATCAACAAAATCAATTTGTTACATTTATGGATGATGCGACGAGGTTACGTATTCTCTTCTTCTTATGATATTACCCGAATAACGCGCACAAGAAAAATATTCTACCATTGTAAATATTTATTCGAATATAATTTTTCACGAAATTCGGGTAGATATACATTTATTTGGCTTTTGCATTCGAAATTTTCCGTCTTACCGATGTTATTTGAAAGGGCTATTGCGTTATACACTGCTGTTCAATTATGATGCGAGATTAAATGCATTGTATTACGCGTTTTTTTCTTAAGGATATCATTATTATTAACCAAGATATGCTTCTCGTTCTGGTATAGTTTCAATTTTTCAATTCACTTAATTCCCATGTCGTGTAGAGATATAAGAAAACATATCACTTTTTCTTTAGAGGGACCGAGACCTTTTGATTACCGCCTTTTCTACTTCGTAAATCTAACCAAATAAGTTTCATCCCAAACTAAACTCAATGTGGAATTGTCCAATTCTACGTTGCAATTTTGGCGTACGTTACCTCAGTTGTATTGATAAGCTTTCACTTACACACATATATGCCGGACTAGTAATTAAGGACATCGATGATGCTAAAATTTAAACCCCACAATTAAGAGAATTAATAGAAGACCTTATGGATAGTAACAACTTTTTTGCAGTTTTTTTTTTATACCAGCTTAACTAATACAATTTTAGGCTACCTTGTGATTCACAATTATCAACTGTAGGTCGGGAAACGTTACAAATCTTAGTAATATCTCTAGTTAAGTCGTTTCTGGTAACTAAATGAAAAAAAATTCTGTTCGATACACGTTCATTTGATGTAAGAAGATAATATACATTGTAAGTAGTCTTAAAATCTTGGTATCTAATTTGCCCTAAGGCAAATCGTATTGAGGATATAGTCAGGACTGTTCGCCCTTATTAGAGTTCTACAGTTACATCCGCCATGAAGATAATGGAACACATCGCATTACCACTGACAAACTGTACTACGATACTGAGCTCAAATTAGCACCGTATGCAGCACGGATTTACTGTGATATAGGTTTCCCGACAACGAAACTAACTGTATAGCGGCTACAGTCACTCACGGATAAATTAATATAAGCACCTGAATGAACGAGCTTTTTTAGCTGGAAAAAATCTGGAACTATGTAAAGGAACAAAGGGGAACGCCACCTAAATGATAAACATGTAAATGGCGTAAGTATAATGATGATGGTGGAAAATGCAATTCCATCCATTCTCTAAAACCCTCAAGAAGATGTCGGCTTAATTAAAACTTAGTATGGAGCGGTGTCCTAATTTTATAAAGTTTATATAACTTACATAGTAAACGTCACGCAATTTGGATATCTGCCAAAAGCGTATTATTTGATTTACAAAAATTAAAATCACAAAAGTCCTCCCTTGCGGATTTTAAGCCTTGCGGTTTTGACATGCAATATTTTCGTAAATAATATACAGAATTACGAGCCATAACCCGCAATTTTAATATTACAACCATGGCGATAAACGTTCGAGACATGAAATGTTGGAAGATACTTGTACGGAGACAGGATAGATTTAAGTCTATAACATGATTTAGTACAACCGTTTATCACAAGCGAGACAGCCAGCTTGTCGTCAAGGGTTTTAAAGAACAAATACACAATACTTTCGTTGAAAGGATATTAGAGGAAAATAAACCGTTTTCAGTTTTTAGTAGGTAGTGAAATACTTCTCCCAAATGAGACTATTCCTTTTATTTATTGGGCTGCATTT